AACAAAGGATCTGTGCCTGCTTGGTTTAATTATTTGTTCAATCTTATTGTTATTCCTAATTCACCTTCTTTTTTTATTTTACAACAATTTAGAATTCCTAGTTCTCATACTGTAGCTTCTATTTCCTTTATAGATATTAGTCGAAATTATTGGTTTAACCCTCAATGGGCTATTTCTTTTAATCGTAATACTAATTCTTTTCTTGTTGGCCGTGTGATTACTACCTATCCTGCTCCACGTAATGAAGCTCTCATCTCACATTGGATTGCGACTTCAGTTGATGATTTGCTTTCTGAATTTACAGCATGCCAAGGATGTGCCTCTGCTATTTCGCGATCCTCTACCTCTAAGACTCTACTTAAATGATGTCCCTCTGAAGGATGTTTTTCTTATGTTCCGTTATCAAGTTTGATCCGTTATCCTACGAAACCTCGTACTTATATACATGCGGATACTCGTTCAGTTTCACTTTCTGCCTCGTTAGGCTATGCTAAATCTCTTTTACTATTTCACCTTTTTGCCCCGGCTCGACTACCTCCTATGAATAACCAAGTGTCTAGGATTTCTGATATCCAACTTCCTTCTTCGGTGTCTACACTTTATATTGATGGTTCCTTCCTTCCTCCTTATAGCCATCCGATATTTTCGATGGCTTATGCATGGACTGCTATCGATCCTGATGGATTTATTTTGGAATCCCATTATAATATTATTTCTTCCATTTTTCCTTCTGCATTACGTTCGGAAGTTTTTGCTTTATTGCACGGATTGGACTCCCTCCCTCGGAATTCAAAGATTACTGTCGCCACTAATTGTGCCCATTTACTTTCTTTATGGTCTTTGTATGTAGATGCTCCCTTTATTCCCAAAATGCTTAAAGAATCCAACCACCTTTTGTGGTCCTCCATACGCACTATTGTGTTGCAAAAGAATCTGGATGTTACCTTGATCAAGGTTCCTGCTCATGCTGACGACCCTTTGAATAATCATGTGGATGCATTAGCCAAGGCTGCTCATACTGACTCACATCTTTCTTCTTGTCCACCATCGGAATTGATAGCTCCTTGCATCTTACAATTTAACTCCTTACCTGTGGATATGAATATCCGGAAATTTATTAGAGATATTTTTAACGCCAAAAGTCTTTTAACTCTTGCTGTATTACCAAGATTTAATTCCTATTCTTCAACTTCTGATATTGATTGGGCTTGCACCAAATTTTGTCTCAATAACAATAAGCAATTTGCCTCTCATCGGAATGGCCGTTCCGAGTTTTGTGGTTTCTGTATCAAATTACTTTTGGATATGCTTCCAACGCTTACAACTCTTCAGAAATGAAAGCCTCACCTTTATAATCTGAGTTGGCTTTGTCCTCAATGTAACTCTTCTCCTGAGACTTTAGACCACTTGTGGACTTGTCCTTATATCTTACCAGAATTTAGCCCTTTAAATACTTTTAAAACACTTTTATTGGCTCTCCGGACTAATTATCTTGACAAATTCCTTTCTGCGTCATCTTTAATACTTTTACCGGACTCTTTTGTTGCTAAATTTATGGCTCTTGATTGTTGGAATTGTGACCCTCCTTCATTTTCTTGCCTGAGACTCGCATGAGGACTTATACCGGTATGCCTTACAGAATTTCTTGGAAATTATTTTTCTTCACTTACCATATGGTCTATCTTAGATACACCTTTGCACGACTTTCATTTTGACCTTTATATCCAAATCTGGTTGTGCCGTTCCATTTTCTTTCATCATTGGGAATTAGCTCAAGGCATTACAAAAAAAATGAAATCGTCAGCTCTTGGGCCTTCTTCTATTCTTAGACATTCCTCTAACATTACTCTTGACTCTTCGACACCTTCCTTGGCGACAGCTTCCTTGGATTCCTGGGTTTCTTGGGTTTCCTCTTCTATAATCCGTGGGGATCTTGGATTTCACATTTGGATTTTTGGCGCCGCTTAACAGTTCAGCCTCTACTTAGGATTTCTTTTTGGTAACGGATTGGATCTTAGGACATGCTGGATAGTTGACTCATACTGGCCTTCGGGTAAAGATGGGGTATGCGTTTCTGTAATAGTTTAGTTTTTCCTTACTTAATTTTATTTTGTTTAGATTTCTTTACTTGTATGAATCGTGAAGCTAGTTCTTTTTATTTTTTATGTTTATTTTCTATATTTTGATATTTGTAATATTGTTCGATTTGTTTATTGTACTTTTCGTTTAAATTTAATAATAAAAGATAAAGTCATAAGACTGTTTGCTCATAATCACCAAATATTGGCCTTGATGACATCTGGTGGTTCAATGATGGCGAGGATACGAACGACCTACCTCCATAACCTTCAATAGAGGGTGCAGAAAGTAGTGGCCACTAAACGTACAATACACTTGTAAAATAATCACCAAATATGGACTGTCCCAAATGTGTGACTATAAAGAGAGTTGACTGTATAAATATGAAATGTAATGATTTTTATATTAATGAATTCATGTTGTATTGTATTTGATACTGTATTGATAATAAAATACAATTAAAATCCACACTAATAAATTTATATTGTATTTATTTTAAAAGGATTTACTGTTTTACAAATGCGATTTAATTATACTATCCTTTACAATTATAAGAAAATAATGACAGATACATTTTTACGATTATTATAAATAAACTATTGCTATTTATTACCAATTCATGAATGCTCTAATGTCAATTTCTTTCACAACTTTACTAAAAATGGCCAATTTTTTGAAATGATTTTATAGACCTAAATACAATGGCTTTCAAAACAATTGTGCAATTATTTTGTAAAATTTTTAAAATATATCAAGATATATTTAAAATATTTTTAAAATTAAAATATTAAAATAATATCAAAGTTAATTATATTATAATAATAAAATAATAACAAAAACATTAAAAAATTATTGTGATATTATTTTGAGTTATTTTTATAGACCTAGATACAATATAATTACAAAATAATAGTAAAAATATAATAAAAACATTTTGATGTATTAGATGTATTTTTGTAGTATTTTAAAATTATTACAAAATCATTTCCATTTTTAGTAAAGTATGCCTCAAGTTTTACGACAAAAACTTAAGAACCATTTCCTTTTAGGCTTTATTCCTTTTGCAGCAACTTGTGATGATGTCTTAAAGCTGCTAATTTCTGATATTAAAGAACTTGAAAGTGGATTTGAAATGGATTTAGGTGATAAATGTATTTGAATAATGGGTGGATTAGGTGATATAACATCAGATTTACCTGATGGAAATGAACAAGCTGGAGTTAAAAATCATAATGCGTAATGAATTGCATGATATGTCTTTTGATATTTTGGCAAATGGATGATACTATCACAATACAACCTTACAAATTAATGAATTGAATAATGCTAAAACTTAAGCAGAACGTGATTCACATTCAACACAATATGGCATTTGGTATAAGCCATCAATTTTTGACAACATTAGGAAATTTGTTTGGTGTAAAATTTCAAAATATTACACTAAAATGTAATATTACAAAAGTTTACGCTCTTAAATTTGAATAATTATAGTAATTTAAGAATATCTCGCTATTTACTGATCCAATCAAGATGATCTATAGTTCATTGGAATCAGCTCATTAAAACAAATCGAATGGTAGTAAAATCACATTTTTACAGTTGATAGAACGCTCTATAGTACTATGCAATAAAGTTTTAAATTAATAGAAAGTCATCTATCGAACTTAAAGATGTGAATTTACTACCATTCAATTTGTCTTGATAAGCTGATTCCAATGAGCTATAGATCGTCTTGATTGGATCAGTAAATAGCGAGATATTCTTAAATTACTATAATTATTCAAATTTAAGAGCGTAAACTTTTGTAATATTACGTTTTTAGTGTAATATTTTGAAATTTTACACTATCTCTGAAATATTACACTAAATTACGCCTAAACAAATTTCCTAATGAATGTGATTTAAGATCGTCATTTACAATGTCTTCATATGCATTTCATTGCATGGGAGGTTTGGCAAATCAAATGTTGCAAACAACATTTGCAATTTTACTAACATCTAAAGGGAAAGAGTTATTTTTAACTAATTGGAGATACTTTGAATTTCCAAGTGTATGGTCACGACAACAAAATCCAATTACTCATTTAAACTCTTATTATTTTTCAGATTATTTTCGTCTTATAATAATAATGCCTTTTTTGCTTAATCGTGCAATAAATATATCATTATTGAAAGATACATTTGTCAATAATTTGATCACAACTTGTAATCTTACACAAAAAAATCAGGTGATTGATCAGCTGCAAAATCTTTGGGTATTATTTGCTAAATTAGTATCTCTAACATTTAAAAAAACATTTAATGAATCAAATTACTATAAGATGCATGGAGAAGCGGTGAGATCTCCCTATTCCCTCTGTCATCAATTTACAGAGTTGCCATATTGAACGAGCATAGCGGACATCTCTATTTTATCACAATACTGTTGTCGATCATTTGCCGATCATTTATTCAATTATCACATAATATAAATACCGTTGCTAAAAAAATTTACATAATAATATATGCTTAAATTTCACAAATAACTTAAATTTAGTTTTAATTTATTGTGTATTAAATTTCATTAGAAACTTTTTAGCTTTTATTATTATTTGGCATATATTTATTCATTTTACGAAATTATTCACTAATTATGTTACTAATAAAAAACCTGCATTATGAATCAGATCACTGCATTATTTTTTTTATAGATTCTACATAATATAAAGAATATTTGTGCAAATTCTTAAGTTTCGCACTCGCATATTCATCTTCGCACTTTAATTTTTGTCTGATGATCGGCAATAATTAGTGAATTATCATAAACAAATAATATATTTATAATATTATTAAAAATTGTGCTAATAATTATATAATTAAAATCATATAATAATTTAGTGTTTTTACTTAGATTCCATTATTTTTTTGCCACATTATTTGAAAAATATTTGTGATTTTGCAATAAGTTTTTAAAATCAGGAATTAGTGATCAGCAAATGATCGGCAAGGTGATATGAGCATGTCCGCTATGCTCATCGAACGGGCATTCTCATGGTCGATCGAACGAATAAATGAACGAACGAACAATTAAACAAACAAACAAGCAAATAATCAACGACATAATTAACAAATAACATAATCAATAAACAATATACAACAACATATAACAACAATAACATTCTTTAATTTCAGATTTCGATAACTCTCACCGCAAAATATTCTATTTACTTTACCTTTAATACTTCGATAATTCACTTTACATAAATGTATATTTTATTCATCTTATAATTATCATTTTATTCAATTAAAATTAATTAAGCGAACATTAATTAAAGTTTAGGGCGAACCTATTACCTTTAATTAATATTATACTTTTCAAAAACTAACTGTGGAATTTATTTTGAATTCCACTCTCTATTTAAACAAATTTTATGATACTTTCTATTCTAATATATGCTATCTATATACTATCTTTTATGTTCTTTTTACATATTATTTCTGTACTATCTTTCTAATATGTTATCTATATTTTAATTATGCTATCTTTTAATATGCTATTCTTAATATGCATGTATTTTCTATTTTAATATGCTATCTTTTTATATATGTTCTTTTTTAATATGTTATCTTTTATGTTCCATCTTTTTAATATACTAGTATCTTTCAATATGTTTCTATTTTTAATATGTTATGTTCCATCTTTTGTAGTTTATATCTTTTCATATTATCTTTTATGTTATCTTTTATATTATCTTTTTATATTATCTTTTATATTATCTTTTATATTATCTTTTATATTATCTTTTATATTATCTTTTTATATTATTTTTTATATTATCTTTTATATTATCTTTTATATTATTGTTTTTATGTATTCATTATGCGTGTTCCTTTAGTCCGCTATCCCTCCATTTTATAAGATTTATCTTTTGTGGCTTATAATTATTCCTTCTAATTGTTCCTATTGTTAAAGATTGCTAAGCCACAATTGATCAACTCTAATTATTCTATTGGTTCTTCATTAATCATCCAATAAATATTACATCATGTAGATCATAAATGTTTATTCTTTTCGGCTAATCATTTATCCATCTACGTCAATTCATAATTGATTTGTTCGTTCTTAATATTTGGCAATTATATTTGGTGATTAAATTTTATCATCTTTTTATGCTTGATATTCGACTGTTTATAGCGGCAAGTGCATCACTTGTGGAACTTAACACAATGTGTGAAAGTCTTCGCCAAATTCTAAAAAATTATTATCCCAATAATATTTTTAACTGTGATGAAACAGGTCTTTTTTGGAAAATGCGACCTAATCGCACCACTTTACTAAAAATGGCCAATTTTTTGAAATGATTTTGTTATATGGAGGGAGTACTACTACAACACCAGTTGCGGTAATGCACTCCTACCGTTGAGCGACAGATAACCAAGCAACTTACTCTAATTATTTAGAATTAAGTAACTGGATGTTCATCCCCCTACCCCTATATATCACACTGGGAAAACGATCCAAGTTTATACCCACATAAGAATGGATCGTAGTGTAGCAGAGTTTTTGACACAGTTATGCTACCTACTAGCGCCTGTCAGAAGTGAGTAACCACACATGTACGGCAGATATAATAGAGCAGACATCTAGAAGTCCTTCCATGATGGTTAGCTTAGAGATACTGCAATACTAAGACTACTAATATGGTCTTACTTAAAGCCCACTACAGGCCGCGATTACCATACCAGCCCACCATATTTGTAAATCCCCCAGTAGTATATATAGCAGTGACTACTAGGACAGTAAGCTGCTAAGGGTACTGAGATCACCCCTTTATTATAAGTAACCAACCCAGTTATCCAGGGATCACCCACCAGTACGTCAAATTCACTGAGGAATCGAACCTCACCTTAGAACCTTATATACCTGTGAGTCTACGAATGTCTCCAATCAGTTTAAACCTATTAGAAGATAAACTACTGCTAAGACATTGTACTTGAGACTTTACTATCTATGAGGACCATCTAGTATAGGGATTGGAATCAATTCTATCAAAATCGAATTAATCAAAAATCGAATCGTTCCTATAGAATCAATTAATCAAATCTAAAAATTGAATCTTAATAAATCAATTTTTTTTTTAATTTTGGCGCAGCAAAATCATCATGTTACTTCTATAACTGTGATTCAGTAAAAAAAATGACATCAGAATTATCAGAATTTCTAAAATTGATGATCAACATAAATATTTGTACAAATAATGTCATTTACAAACTTTATTTCATTTTTTTCCCACCATTACGAAAAATATAGCTACCACCATGCAAAATAAGCATAAGCAATTAGCTAAAGAAGCTGAGAGACAGATATTAGTACAAGAGGAAGAAAGTGATGCTGATTCTGATTATAAAGCTACTAATTCATCTAAATCAGAGGAAGAAGCAAGTGACCAAACCATATCTGATAATTCTGATAATGATGTAATTAATATATCTGATGATAATGATGATGATGATGCAGATATTGGCATCAATGAAAATGTTCTAAAATTACAAGACCTAAAACAAGTTGGGTATGGAATTTCTTTAGAGAAACTGAAGATGGTTCTAAAGTTATTTGTCAAATTGAGGGCTGTGAAAAAATGCTTAAATGGTGTGGCTTTCCAAGTTCAATGAAAACACATTTGTCAGGTACACATCATATTACCAAAGGTATTGCAGTGAAATATCTAGAAGCATTATAAAAAGGTGATCAAAATCTTATTAGTAATATAATTGAAGAAGAAAAATCTAAATCACATCCTTATTCCAAACAAGAATTATTAACTAAAAATGTGATTGGGTTTGTTATTGGTACAGTACAGCCATTAAGTATTGTAGAAGACAAGGATTTTATTAAAATGGTAAATGGATTTGATTTATTTACAAGGTTCCTTGTACAAAAACTCTTAAAGAACGAATTTCATTAGCATATGAAGCAGGAACAGAAAAAGTTAAGAATCAACTTTTACAATTAGAAAATATTTCTTTAACATTGGATGCTTGGAGTTCATCAGCACATATACCCTATCTAGATGTTACAGTACATTGAGTGACATCAAAATTTGAACCATATGAATTACTTCTTAGTATGGAAAAACTCCCATATCTATATGGTGCAATTGAGATTCAGAAATATCTAATTGATTTGTTTAATGATTGGGGAATTAGTTCAAAAATTACAGCTATTGTAACTGATAATGGTTCAAATGTAAAAAAGGCATGTAGTAACATGAATATTGGTGAAAGAATTCCTTGTACTGTACATACGCTCCAACTAAGTGTTGGAAAAGGATTGGATATAGCAAAAGTGTTGATTAACAAATGTAAATCTCTTATTGCTTTTTTAGCAAATGATAAAAAGAAACAACAACTAAGAGAATCACAAATCTATTTGTTTCAACAACAAAAATTACAAAAAAATAATAAAGAATTAGAAAAAGAATCTGAAGATCTTGTTGTCCTTGATGTAGTAAAAGCCAATAACACTCGCTGAAATTCAACATTATATGCATTTCACACAGGTCGAAAAGTGAAAAATCAGGCACCAATCGGTCACCAATCAGGTACCTGATTGGTGACCGATTGGTGCCTGATTGATGCCTGATTTTTCACTTTTCGACCTGTGTCAAAGACTTATCATTCTCAAACTAGCAATTTCGATGTTGAAAACTTCTTTAATTAATGATAGAAGTTCACATATTCGCAGAGAGGGTGAAAAATTGGAAAAATTGTATCCAACTTCACATGAATGGAAAATAATTAAAGAAATAGTAGAACTTTTGAGTCCCTTTGAAAGTGTAACATGTCTTTTAAGTGGTGCAACATATCCAACCATTGGTTTAATATATCCAAGTTTATGTAATTTAAAAGAAATTCTTGAAACTGAATTTATTCTATCATTTGAAACTGATGTAGCAGAAAATTGTAGGAAAGCAATCTTAGAAGATTTACGATCAAGATGGGAATTTCCTCAAGAACTTTGTATAAAAGGATCATTTCTTGATCCTTGTTTTAAAGGCTTAGACTTTGTATCTCAAGAAACACGTAAAGAAATTATTAATCAATTAGAAACAGAATATGAAGTTCTTAAAAATGATTCAATTCCTAGTATTCCTGTGAAATCTAATTTAACATTAACAACAATGGGCAGCTTTTGGAAGAAAAAAAATGAAAGAAATGTAACTCCAATAAAGAATAAAGTCCAATATTATCTTAATTTACCAGAATTACCAGCTTTTGAGGAGTATGATTCCTTTACATGGTGAACAACAAATAAAGCTCAATATCCTATATTGTATAAAATGGCAATGAAGTATCTTTCTATTCCAGCTACCTCTGTACTATCAGAAAGACTTTTTTCTGATACTAATAATTTATTAGTTACTTCCCAAAGAACTCGCTTAGATTCAAGTATCATTAACAAAATTATGTTTTTAAAAAGAAATAGAGAACATGTGGATATATTTGCAGTGAAAAAATAACTCATTAAATTGAAAATGAATTAGTTTTTTTGATAAATTTGTATTAAACATTCTAAAATATTTCAATAAATAAAATTTATTATAAATAAAGCTCATTTATTAGTTAAATTTATTAGTTAAATTTATTAGTTAAATTTATTAATTAAATTTATTAGTAAAATCCACTTAAAATTTCATGCGTTGAGATCATCAAAATTGCTGCGCAATAAATGCAAAAAAAATGATTGGCGCTGTGAAATTATTATACATAAATTCAATTAAGATTCAATTAATCAAAACTGAAAATCGAATCACCAAATCGAATTTTAGATTTGATTAATCGAATCTTTAATCAATTCTCAAGATTCAATTTTCGATTGAATAGATTCCAATCCCTAATCTAGCGTAGTAATCTCTTACAGTAAAGTTTACCATACCCTTAGTGGTATCATAGAGTGACCACCAAGACAAGAGCTCACCCAGATGGTATGCAAGCAGTGACCATCTAGACAGGACAATAGGCTTCCCAATGGCCTCATAGAAAATGCTAAGAGGACACTATGACCCTTTATTGAAATATGCCACCGACCGGTACATACTAATTCACCATGATGCAGTCCAGCCTACACTAATCCCTGTACCTTTATTTACACTATTGGTAGTAGTGTCTGCAGTAAAATTCTTTTAATTTCCATGATCAATGGAATCGAACCTGCGACCTCACCATACTCAGGCTTTACGAGAGGACTCACGGACTAACCAATGAGCCAAGGGTGATCAACCCTTAATAATTTTTTAATGCTTTTATTATTATTTTATCATTATAATATAATTAATTTTGATATTATTTTAATATTTTAATTTCAAACATACCTTAAATATATTTGATATATTTTAAAAATTTTACAAAATAATTGCACAATTGTTTTGAAATCTATTGTATCTAGGTCTATAAAAATATTTCAAAAAATTGGCAATTTTTAGTAAAGCATATCTAATGGTTCTGTGGCTGGAATGAAACAATCTAAGAATTATATAACGGTCTTATTTACTTGTAATGCAACTGGAATTGAAAAATTGGCCCCTTATTCATACACAAACATGAAAATCCCTGGCTCTAAAAAATATTAACAAAACTACTCTTCCAGTGAATATTATTGGAATTCAAAAAGTTGGATGCAAGTATCTATCTGGAATGCATATCTTAAAAAGCTTGATGCTCAAATGAGAGCACAGAACTGAGATATCATTCTTTTTGTTGATAATGTACCTAACTCATTCTCTCAATGAAAATACAAATTTAACTAATATTAAAATTGAATTTCTTCCTCCAAATATCACTTCACACCTCCAGCCATATGATCAAGGGATCATTAACAGTTTCAAGGTAGTTGAATTCATACTTTAACTTCAAATCTACACCTTACATCTTAATTTCAAATCCTTTTATCATATTAACTATAAAAAATTTAATTTTATTTTAGGCACAATACCAAAAATTATTATTGCGAAATCATGTTAAAGCCTTTGATAATTATAATGAATTTGGCATTAATCCTATTGAAATTAATATCAAAAAGTGCATCAAACATGTCGCATGTGCATGGGATAATGCTACTCAATCTATCTACTATTGAAAATTGCTGGTTAAAAGTAGATATTTTACCTAAAGATAATGAAAGTGAATCGATATGGATTTCTGTGCCAAAACACAAGTTCTTCTAATATATATGAATGAGCTGAAAGAAGTTCAAGATTTAATTAATAAACTTAATCTTGAAATCCTTTAACTGCTGATGAATTTATTTAATGTGATGAATCTGAACTTACAACAGAAATGATATCCAATGAAGAAATTTTGAAAGTAATTCTTCCCAATAATCATGAACAAGAGGTAGATGAACTAAATTCTAATTCTTTACCATCCATTACTCATAGCGAGGCCATTGAACATTATGATAAGGTTTAGAGCAACAAAAGGATAAATTCAATATGAAAAAAGAAGAATTAAGATGCATTAAAAAACTTAAGAAGAAGGCATTAAACAACATTTTATTTCTGCGAGACAAATGAATATATAATATAATAATTGTATTACATTTAATAATAAATAATATAAATATACTTTAATTTACATTTATTTACATAAATTTACTTTAGAATTTTTCTAACTATCACCGGGGGTGATGATCACCGGTGACTGAAATTATGATGATTGACCAGCATTAAAAAAATATAGTGCTGGTAAAAATTGATAATTCTGGCCAATGGTGATGATCACCCCCGGTTATTTGAAGTGAAAATCTTTACTTTAAAATATTTAATGAATTTTTAATAATAATTCGTTATACAATATTCCAAATTTTGCTATATGGATGTCAAAAAATCCGTTATAATGTTACCGAATTTTTCCATAACGAAGGTCAGATCAGCATGGGCACCAAATTCGTTATAACGCGAGCCAACTGTATTTGATTAATGTTTGATATATCGAAAGATTATACTGTAAGTCTGTAACTAGTTTTAACCCGGGGTAATTTGATATACTCAGGTAATACCTGATTAACTTTCAATTAATAATGATTTGTTTATCAATCTTTTTTTTAACGTCCATTAACATCCTTTAACGTTCTTGATGTCCTTTAACGTTCTTTACCGTCTTTTCTTTTCTCATTTTTAGACTCTTAAAGGTAAGCTTTTTTTTTATTATATTGTTTTCTTTTTTATTTCTATTGTTCCTTAATTAACCGTTTTCTTCTTTTTGTAGATTTTTCAACTTCAGTATCCTAGTAAATGGTAAGTTTCAGGTTTTTCAGAATTTCATAAGTCTATTTTCTTTATACTTTACAGCAACCGCTTTTTTTTCTTTTTCATTTTTCTTCTATTTTTGGTCGGGTTTTCCTTGGAATTCTTTGGATTTCTTCTTGGGTCTCATTAGGTTGCTTTTGGGGTTGTCTTTCGAGTTTCTTCGATTTCTTCTTGGGTTTCTTAGATTTTTTTCTTTGGGTTTCTTTTTGGTTCTTCTTGGACTTTTTTTCTATTTCATTTTGTTTATCTGTTATACCTTGATTTTGTGATTTCTTTTTTAACATTATTTTGATTTTGGTTTTATTTCGATTTTGGTTATTTTTTTATCTTTTCATTTATTTTTGTCTTTGATTTGACCTTGTATATTTTCATTTTTGATCTCATTTTGATCTCATTGTTTTTCTCAAAAGTATGGTTTGATGCCAGATTTTCCTCTAACTATTTATCCTTATATATTCCGCATTAAGGCTGGCCTCCACCCGTAGCTTTCTTTCCTGATTTAATAAAATGTAACCTGATCCATGGCGAGTCCGTGAATCTTACCCAGACACTTTTCTGCACCCACGTGACTAATATAAATGGACTTACAAGTGGTAAATCACTTAGCAATTTGATATCGATTAACATTTTCCACCCTGATACTGATTTCAAAGCAAGTCATGATTTTGATAATTACGTAATTTTTGTGTTCTGTACTCGTATTTAGTCTACAGGCTGTATGGAATCCGGTTGCTTGTTAAAATTACCGGTGGTTCCCGATAGGCTACATTGAATTAAGGTTCAAAACAGTTCGGTCGTGGAAAGCGCCATGTGTAACGTTACTTCAAAAAAAAACAAAAAAAAGTTTTTTAAAGGAATAAGTATGTTAATTTGGATGATAAATAACATATTTTATTCTTTTTCCAATCCTCATGCTCTGTGATATTATAGATTAACTAGATCTGTTTAATATTGGTTGACTAGCGACTAACTTTCAAATTTCGAATGAAAAAAATTCTTTACCTGTGTCATGTTGTTTGTCGATCTGGTCTATATACTATCCATTGTACAGTATATGCAGTTAATAAACTCAGCATATAATGTAAAACTTTGATTCAATTGAAGGTTTTCCGGACATTGATACCTTTTTTCTAACAAATTTCGATAGCAAAAATGACGATACTCGTGTCCGATGCAAAATTATTTGCAATTGTTTTATACTCAACGTTTGTTAATAACGAACATCTGCCTTCTGTCAGAGATATTTGGAAGAATTCTTGGGTAACTGGAGCTTCCGGAGCATTAGTAATAGGATTAGTTGGTGCAATAGTTGTACCGTTAATTTTATCAGCGATAATTTGTGGACTAGGATTTGGTGTAGAAGGTGTTGCAGCAGGTTCATTTGGTTCTTGGTTTATGTCATTGTATGGAGGAATGATTGCACGTGGAAGTCTTGTTTCAATTTTGCAATCGATTGGAGCTGCCGGTTTAGGAACTCTTGGCACTTCAATAAGCAGTAGTTTTGGAGCAGCTATTGGAATTCTTATTGGAGCAATTGGTGGTTCAAATATTGCAACATATTTTAAGGAAATGGATTTAAATGATTCTGAAAACAAAATTTTTGGAAGTTTGGTTCAAATCGAACAAAATACTTATCAAAATAACCATCACATGATTGTATTCACACTCATGCCGGCTTTACTATATAATGAAACAGTTTTAAGATGTTTTTTTGAAACATTTATAGCTAGTTCATCATTTGTTGAATCTAAATTATTTAGATTTAATTTTAAAGAAAATAATTTATCAAAGTTAAAATCAGAACAAGAAAAAGTAAATCATACTGCTTATAATTTGTTAATTGGTAATGATAAAGAATTCAAAGTGAAGTCTATTTTTCATAATGATCTATTAATTGGATATAATTTGAATCTTAACAATTATCAATCATCAAATGATAAGGTAAAATTATTGGCTGATATTTGGAAACTTATAAATGGTAATATTGTTTTAGATATTGATATTGATAAAATTCGCGATCAATTTCACGATCAAATTCAAAGTCTTTTAAATTATTTTCATGGCGGATTCAAATTATAAATATTGAGAGTTCGTGCAATATGTATATGTATTTATTAGCTATTAGATATGTTACTTTATAAAAATAATAGTAAATTGTTATATTGTTATGATTTTTTTTCTTTTTACACTCATTGAATGATGGGATATTGGTAAGATATTAGTTACCTCATTTGTATCAATATAATTAGTACATAATTTCATTTCACCAATAGAGTTTTTTAATGTGACTCTTGGTACTCTTTCAATACTAGTAGTTAGAAATAAAAAATGTGTTTGCCATTGGGCTGAAAATATTGGACAGATTGTTTAATTTATAGTTTCAGAATGCTTTAAGTTTTTTTATTTTTAATAATTAATTACGTAGTTGGTTACTTGATAGTTAATATTAAGATAAATAAACGCAAATTTTCCTGAAATTACAATTTTTAAGATAAAATCAATTTATTTATTTTATGTAAAGGCGATTGCCGGTCTGCGTGACTATAACTATATAACTCAGGTGATATCACCTGATTAACTTTTCAATTAATAATGTTGATTTGTTTATCTGTTATCAATCTTTTTTTTACCATCCATTAACATCCTTTAACGTTCTCGATGTCCTTTAACGTTCTTTTTTTTTTCTTATTTTTAGACTCTTAAAGGTAAGCTTTTTTTTTTTTACTATATTTATTTTCTTTTTTGTTTGCTATTGTTCATTAATTAACCGTTTTCTTCTTTTTTGTAGATTTTTCAACTTAAGTATCCTAGTAAACGGTAATTTTCAGGCTTTTCAGAATTTCTTAAGTCAGAATTTCATAAGTCTACAGCAACTAACCAGTTTTTTTTTTCTTTTTCATTTTTCTTCTATTTTGGTCGGGTTTTCCTTGGACTTTTTTGGGTTTCTTTTTTGGGTTTTTTGGGTTTCTTCTTAGACTCTTTTTCTTCTCATTTTCTTTATACTTTGATTTTGTGATTACTTTTTAATCTCATTTCACTTTTGGTTTTATTTCGATTTTGTTCTTTTTTTACCTTCTCATACATTTATTTTATCTTTGATTTTATTCATTTTGACCTTGTATATTTTATTTTTGGTTTCATTTTGATTTCATTTTGATCTCATTTAATTTTATCTTTGGTTTTTATTTGTTCTGATCTTTGTATATTTTATCTTTTGATCTCATTTATTTAATTTATCTTTGGGACTAATCTTGTATATTTTTATCTTTGGTTCATTCCAATCTTGTTCGACGGTGTTTAGTAAATCACATGAACCAGACCTAATATAATGTAACGGGATTATAGTCTATAGATTTTTCCCAATCGTCATTTTTAGATTATAATAAAAATCATCAATCAATTAAAACTATATGTAAAATTATTTTTATGGGATGGGGAGCAAATTAGCAACATTCATCGAAATTCGATTCGTTATATCAAAATTTGTTATATTGGGAGCTGAGGTAATTTTTTAAAATTGAGCACAAAAAGCATGAAAAGTGAGAGATCCGCCGCTATTGCGCCGATTCGATGGCTGAATAATATCAAGGCTTATGCGAGGATTGATCATTAAAAATAAGTATATAGGTCATTAAAAATCCCAAATAAAAGGATAATACAAGTATTCATAAATTTTATTTTCAATTTACGCCTGGAATTAATTATATATATATTATACATTAAAAATTAGCAGCGAAGCATGTGAAAATAATAACTTAGAATTAGCTGGAATTTGTAATACGGATCCGTGTATATTTATTATTCCGGTGGCTGAATTAAAAACCAACTATTAATTAAATCCGTCTGTATAATATAATTTATAAATTATTATTTAACTGAAAATTTTTCAAATGAAAGAATAATAATAAGGCACTTCTGACAAATTTCAAAAACAAAAAGTGACGATGATTCTATCTGATAAAAAATTATTTGCAATTGTTTTATATTCCGCATTTGTAAAAAATAAATTTCTAATCCCCAATAGAGATATTTGGGAGAATGCTTGGGTAATTGGAATTTCTGGAGCAATAGCACTAGGATTAGTTGGCGCATTAATTGCGCCGTTTATTTTATCGGCAATAATTGAAGCGTTAGGATTTGGTGTAGAAGGTATTGCAGCAGAATCATTTGCTTCTTGGTTTATGTCATTATATGAAGGTACGATTGTACGCGGAAGTCTTGTTTCAATTTTACAATCGATTGGAGCTGCCGGTTTAGGAACTCTCGGCACTACAATAAGCAGTGGTTTTGGAGCAGCTATTGGAACTCTTATTGGAGCAATTGGGGGCTCTAAACTTGCATCATATTTAAGAGAAATGGATTTAAATGAAACAGAAAAACAAATGCTTGGAAGTTTTATTAAAATTGAAGAAAGTGTTTATCAAAATAATGATATTATTATGATATTCACACTTATGCCAGCCTTATTATACAATGACACAATCTTAAAATGTTTCAGTGAAACATTCATATCTTGTTCACCATTTGCTAATTCTAAATTATTTAGATTTAATTTCAAAGAAAATAAATTAAAATCAGAAGAAGAAAGAGTGAATAATACAGTTTATAATTTGTTAATTGATAATTGTAACAAATCCAGAATAGAATATATTTTTCATGATGATTACTTAGTTGGGTATAATTTAAATCTTATTGATTATAAACCATCAAACCTTATGATAAATTTATTGGTGGAAGTTTGGAATATTATAAACGGTAACATCATTATTAATATTCCTGATATCGATAAGATTCGTGATCAAATTAATGATCAGATTCACAAAATTGATATTAATAAATTTAATAGTAAAATTAGTGAGCAAGTTAGTGAAAAAGCTAACGAAATCTCTAAGTTCTTTAATGAGATTCATTTTAAATAGATATATTAGCTCTTTAGAATAACTTTTGTTTAAGAAATACGTCGTCAGGTGACAGCTGACATGCGTAAGAGAATTGTATGATTAAATTTATGAATAAATTTTGTTTATATCCTTGTCCTGCATTTTACAAGTTTCAATTCGACCTCTTATATTCGGTAGAAAACTCGATCCGATTATTGTTTAATTTGGTTAGAAGCGAATATTTTATTTATCTATCGTAAAAAAATCAAATTATAAAACATATATAATCTGCGGCTTGATTCAATTAATACTATATAAATGATTGACTTTACAGACAAGTAGTGGAGAAAAATTTTATTTCTAGTGACTTCAATTACTAAGAAGACTTTGAAAATTACATGAATCTTAAAAATCCTTATTATTACTTCTAAGTAGATTATCTGGGTCGAACCGACCAGATCGGATTTACAGTAAATTATTAGTCCGATTCAAAATTCGTTAACTATTAGCAATCGTTTTATATTCTTCATTTGTAAATAATGAATTTTTAATTCCTAATAGAGATACTTTGGATAATCCTTGGATAATTGGAACTACTGGAACATAGCAATAGGATTAGTTGGCGCATTAGTTGCACCAATTATTTTATCAGCAATAATATATGGATTAGGATTTGGTGTAGGACATTGCAGCAAATTCATTTCCTCTTGGTTTATGTCATTATATGGAGAAACGATCGCACGTGGAAATCTTGTTTCAATTTTACAATCGATTGGAGCTGCTGGTTTAGGAACTTTGGGTAATTTCTTAAGCAGTAGTTTTGGAGCAGCTATTGGAGCAATTGGAGGTTCAAACCTTGCAGTATTTATAGAGATGAACAAGGATTCTCTAACAATTGTTACTATTTTTATTTATTTATTTATTTATTTTGTCTTCTAAACGTTCCTATCATTTTTTGTATATCTGATATTATCAATGGTAATATCATGATCAGATTAATGATCTTTCATGACAAGTTACAAATTAAATAGACATATTAGTGATATTATCGGCGGGGTTAAAAGGGTTAGGTAAATGTTAGAGTTATTCTATTTTTTGTGATTATTTTAAAATAAATAAATTTTTTATAATTATAAAAAAAAATATTGTTAAATATATTATCGGAAACATATCCACATTTCTTATTTGTCAATGAATATTTTCAATTTTTAAACTTTTCCGCTATGAATCTCACCCTAGTACGGAGAATCGTAAGAGAAGAAAAAATTAAGTCACTAAAATTTTATACGAAAACGTCGTATTAAAATTATATGAAATTATGCCGAAGTTGTAATTGGTTACTTAATCCAGCCGGATTTAAGTCACTTCTGTAGTTATAACTTACCTAATGTACGATTAGTGTTTACTCATTTCGGACGATGTCCGTCCGGCACGTGACAATGTATAACAATGAAACCACTTCGGACTTTTAATGATGGTTTCCGTTTCGTACACCTATTACAGCATAAAGTTACAACTTTACGGCAAATGAGTCACAACATTTTCAATTACGGTATTGATCTACCTATTTATAAGATTATATGCATAGGCACATGTCAATGAGTATATATATATATCTGGTATTTTGCTGGAATCACTTTTAACAAAAAAAAAGTGACAATGCTCGTTTCTGATGAAAAATTATTTGCGATCGTTTTATATTCCGCATTTGTAAACAATGATCTTATAGCTTCTATTAGAGATATTTGGAAGAATTCTTGGGTAACTGGAACTTCCGGAGCATTGGTAATAGGATTAGTTGGCGCATTAGCTGCACCATTTATTATATCAGCAATAATTAATGGGTTGGGATTTGGTGTAGGAGGTATTGCAGCAAAATCCTTTGGCTCTTGGTATATGTCATTGCATGGAGGTATGATTGCACGTGGAAGTCTCATCTCAATTTTACAATCGATTGGAGCTGCTGGTTTAGGACCTTTGGGTATTTTCTTAACCAGTAGTTTTGGAGGAGCTATTGGAATTCTTATTGGAGCAATTGGTGGTTCAAACCTTGCATCATATTTTAGAGAAATGGATTTAAATGGAACTGAAAGACAACTACTTGAAAGATTTATTCAAATTGAAGAAAGTAATTATCAAAATAATAGTACAATTATTGTATTCACACTCATGCCAGCTTTATTATATAATGATAAAATGTTGAGATGTTTTTTTGAAACATTTGTAACTAGTTCACCATTTGCCAATTCTAAATTATTTAGATTTGATTTTATAGAAAATAATTTATTAAAATTAAAATCAGAAGAAGAAAGAGTGAATTATACCGTTTATAATTCGCTAATTAGTGATTATGATAAGTCTAGATTAGAATATATTTTTCGGGATGATTATTTTTTAATCGGATATAAGTTAAATCTTGATGATCATAAACCATCGAATCTTATAATAAGTACATTGGTGGAAGTTTGGAATGTACTAAATGGTAAAATCGTTGTGGGTATTGATGTCTATAAATTTCGTGATCAAATCGATAAATATCGTAATCAAATTAATGATCAAATTAGCAAAATTGATTTTGATAAATATCGTGATCAAGCTAGTGATCAAATTAACAATCTTCGTGATCAAATTAATAAAATTGATTTCGACGAACATCGTGATCAAGTTAATGATCAAATTAACTATCTTCGTAATCAAATTAATGATCAAATTAACAAGATTGATTTTGATAAATATCGTGATCAAGCTAATGATCAAATTAACAATCTTCGTGATCAAATTAATGATCAAATTAACAAGATTGATGTTAATAAATTTAGTAATCAGATTAGTGATCAAGTCAACTACTTTTCAGATTTATTTCATAAAAAGTTTAAAAAATCTAAATAAATCATATTGGTTAGAATTATATAATTAATAAATTTCATTGTTAAGAATAAGCTTTTTGTTTCCTGACGTTTGTTTTTACAGTTTTATATTAAAATGTTTGAAACTAGGTCCGAATATTCATGATGTCTATATTTTTGTCATAAACGACCCAATTATTATTTTATACATAAATGTTTAGTATATGTGTATATATGTATATATGTGAAAATCTGCTAAATGATTGAAATTTCCCACAATCTAATGTACATTATATTAGAGATCCTATTAAGATCAATCATTAATCAGCAGCATTACAAATTTATTACAAATTTTGGCCAACGTACGAATTTAAATTAATCGATGGTAAAACATATTGTTTTTCTGATAAATTCAACTATAAATATAAAATGGATAATATAAAGTAAACTTTGATAAATTTTCTACATTGTATTATGCCTAATATAAAATGTACTATTTAGTATTTATTTGATGTAGCACTACATCTACATACCCGCTTTTTTTCATATGACCTTTTCTAAGGTGTTGCGAATGCCTTATTGTTTTTATGCCAGGACCCGGATAATTATGTAAAAGCCATATGCAACAATCTGTACGCCAGAAGCCAATCGAATTGCACTTTGCAGATCACATTGAACAACAACGAACATAACGCGAACACAGCCCAAATTTGGTTGAGTTCGTTGCATTCGCTTAGTAAAATATCATGAAGTCACCAACATAATTTTTTTATATCATAATGTTTTGAAACTTAAATTTGCACAAAAATTGTGCAAACCTATTTTGTGTTCGCGTCGTGTTTGGTGTGTATTTTTTTTTGAAAAGGAAACAATATTTCATCTTAGTATTGTTACTTAGTATTGTTAAATTTCATATGAACGATGATAATCAACCCTAAATACGCCACGAATTAACTTCATAAAGCATAGCATACAAATAGTACTACCAGTATCGGAATCTTTAACTGAGGTAGTTCGTTACCTTTTTTTTCAAGAGATTCTTAATAGCAAGAAATGCCGAAACTCATTTCTGACGAAAAATTATTTGCAATAGTTTTATACTCCGCGTTTGTAAGCAATAATCATCTAACTTCCGTTAGAGATGTTTGGAAGAGTCCTTGGATAACTGGAACTTCTGGAGCACTGGCAATAGGATTAGTTGGTGCAATAGTTGCACCATTTATTTTAACAGCAATAATTCGTGGATTGGGATTTGGTCTGGGAGGTATTGCAGCACATTCATTTGGTTCTTGGTTTATGTCATTGTATCGAGGTACAATTGCACGTGGAAGTGTCGTTTCAATTTTACAATCGATTGGAGCTGTTGGTTTAGGAGCTTTGAGTATTTTCTTAAGCAGTGGTTTTGGAGCAGCTATTGGAATTCTTATTGGAGCAATTGGTGGTTTTAAACTTGCAGAATATTTAACAGAAATTAATTTAATTAAAACCGAAGAACAATTGCTTGAAAGTTTCGTTCAAATTGAAGAAAATAATAATATTATTATATTCAAAATCAAACCAGCTTTGTTATATAATGAAGAAGCTTTAAAATGTTTTTTTGAAACATTTAAATCTAGTTCATCATTTGTTAATTCTAAATTATTTAGAATTGATTTCATAGAAAATGATTTAAAGTTAAAATCAGAAGAAGAAAGAATTCATACTGTTCATAATTTATTAGTTGATAATTATGAAAAATTCAGAATAGAATGTATTTATAACGATGGTTACTTGGTTGGATATAATGTAAATCTTAGTGATTATAAACCATCTGATCCTAAGATAAATACATTGGTAGAAATTTGGAATGTTATGAATGGTAATGTCGTTATAGAATTCATTGATAAAATTCGGGATCAAGTTAATGATCAAATTCGTAACGTTGATGTCAACAAATTTCGTGATCAAGTTAATGATCAAATTAACAAAGCTGATATAAATGGACTCCGTGATCACGTTAATAATCAAATTAATCAAATTAGCGATCAAGTTAGTAAAGTTGATATCAACAAAATTCGGGATCAAGTTAATGATCATATTAACAACATTGATATTAATAAACTTGGTAGTCAAATTGGTGATCAAGTTAATAATCAAATTAATCAAATTAAACAAGTCGATATCAATAAATTTCGTGATCAGGTTAATGATCATGTTAAGAATATTAATGTCAATGAAGTTGGTAATCAAATTAGTAATCACGTAAATGGAATCTTTCGCAAGTGGTTTTAAATAGATGTATTAGTTGTTAAAATATCATTTGTTTATAATCAATAAAATTTGTTAAGAAAAATATTTTGGTTTATTACCTTATCTCTGAAGTTTTGAATATTCATGTAATTTGATTTCACATATTTGGGTCGATATACTGTATAACCTGAATTTGACTCGACCCAATTATTATTACTCGAGCGATCGGACTAAACTTCAAAATTTATTTTTTTCTGGAAATTTTCCATGTAGAATAAACAGAGCTTTTTAAATGGTTAGTATTATTGTCCGGAGCGAAGCGTGATCTTTGGTGATTATTAAAAATTCGTGATCAAATTGATGAAATCTAACTTCTTTCACGATAAGTTTCATTTTAAATAGATTGACATAAGATTTTTATATTATGTACGGAGTTGACCTTTTATTATGACTTCGAATCGCGATTCACCATTTAAAAATAAAAATTTATAATATCGCGAATTAAAGCACTTAGTAAAAATGGAGTAAAACGAAGCAACATTGCCCTAACTCTCTAATCCATATATATCTATCTCGGTGATAAATTTTCATTTTCGCATTTATATGATTATTCGGATTTTGGGGTCCTATCACAACACGTGATGGAAGTTATAAAATGCAATTTACTTAGCGATTGGTTAACTTTTTATTTTGTTTATTTTGAACCGAGTGATTGAAATTGATTCAATCGATTTTTTTTCCAGCCATTGACTTCGAACCAGGTAACTAGCTTCTAATCCTAACAAAATGAACAGCATTTAAGCGACATTGGAAATTACTTTAGAATTGAATGAGCATCTTATGGTGGAAAGGCGTTTCTTTGCTACAGTATATGGATACAGATTCGTTCATATATGGAGTAGAAACGGAGGATATTTATCACGACATGATAAAAAAATGTGGGCCTGTTCGATTTTAGTAATTATTCTTCTGTCCATCCACTATTAAATTACTTTCAGAGGACCAATGGAACCGACGAAAACGGGGAACCAATATTAAAAAAATACTGATGTCATAGGAAAATTCAAGGATGAATGTCATATACAGACCCCGGCGAAAAGAATGGCGGTCAGTCTTTTTGATATCACGAATGTAATTTATAGTAAAATGTGAAATTTTTTTTTATTTTCTGAAAGAGGAACAGAAAATACATATATTTCATTATTTAAATAATATTTGATATGATCATCTTCCCGTGTCAATAAATGCTTTAATTAAGTATTGCGTACTATTCGCACTCTTAACCAGCGTTATTTTATTATGATATTTTAATATTTTCTTAGCTTTCTCGCCATCCAGAGGTCAGATTGAGACAAATTTACCACCATTGGATTCCTCTTGACTATGTGGTTCGAATGGTGGTCTAAAAATTACTGTATAGCATCTGTGTAATGTGATAGTTCAAGTATAATAGTAAGTATTATGAATTTTTATGTTGTATAAAGATAAAAGCAATATAAAAGCTCAATAATATAATAAAAGACCATTATTTAAATCTCATAATTGCAAGAAATCTAATAGTTGTAATTTTTTTTCAATACAAGCTTTGGTTGATGAGAAAATGAAGTTTAAACTTTTTATTTCAAACTTTCATACCAAATCCAAAAAATTATTAGTAGTATTTCTCTGTGATAATGTGATATAACAAAATGCAATTATAATATTTGGCAGTTAAAAGTAAGTGGTTTTTTTTTAAAAAAAAATTGGAATTTATTATTATGTAGGATTTTGAGCATTTTAAAAAAATTCATAGCAAATTATTATGCTCCGATTCCTATTAAATTTATAACTTCTTGGTTTTTTAGAAGGTAAAATAGGCGTAAAAACAATAATAAATCTTCATTTTTTTTTATTGCTTTTTAAAATAGTGTTCTAAAAATCCATTGGGCATTACAAGTTTTAATTTAAATAGGAAAATTCTGATCTCATATCCAAAATAACAAATGATATTTGCACCGCCATTCTTTTCGCCGGGGACTGTATAATGTCTGAGTTCTTTGGGATACGTGCGAAATTGTATCATTATGTCTTGGAAAATGGTAGTGTCGGTTCAAGACATAAAGTGATAAAAGTGCGAGTAACATATGGTCATTGGAGAATTGGTACATTTCATTACGTAAATACTGGAATATCACGAGAAATGCAAAACAACGGGCAATGACAGCCAAAATAGTTATATTATTCACCCTATATTCATGAAGCGAATCCTTCAGATTCTATTTAGGATTGGGAGGTTATACATGGCAAGTATACAACACAGCTATTGTATATCGTAATTGAAATGAAAGATAACAACTTAGTTTCAACAAGTACTATTACATGGAAGGACATTGAGAAGGCACAAAATAAAATAATGGTACACTACGTTGCTCGTTACAAGTAAGTTCATAAAAGAATAAGTAGGTTATGTGAAGAAATTACGAAAGAAAAGGAAACCTAATGAATACATAAGAACTATTTCCATTATGTTATTCCCAAATGAGGACTCATATAAAAAGCGAATAGCTCGATATAGTAGAGAGTGGTATGAAAATAAGAGTGAGCTTCTTAAAAGTGTTGAGAATTCATACAAACTCTATTACGAACTGTCTAAAGAAGAGCGGACTAATATTGAATAAGAATAACAATATTAGAGAGGATCTTAGAGATTATGTTGACGGAGATAAATACTTTTGTATCAATCGGTATAAAGTACAATATCTCATTAGACAATTTTTTTTCGTTAAATAAAATAACGTATAACAACATACATAATGTTATTCAAAAAAAATTAGTTACATGGATTCCGTTACAGGGTACTGCTAGAATTAGATGCATAAATAAGGTTCAACGTAAGGAATGTGATTACGGTTGGAAGGCGAAGCATCAATCAGAAATTTGTTAAAGACAAAATACCCGTGTTTTCGCTATTTGACAAACAACAGACAAATCACAGAGTGAAGCATTACAAAATACATGTTTTCTTCTATGAAAATAGTCAGCTAACAATCAAATTAATTAACTACTTATTAGTATTGTAGTGTGAAAACACTTACTGTATATTCAAAGGCACAGATTGCTTTTAATAGAATAATTATGCATCATTTACGTAAAAGGACCAAAAAATATGTGGTCAGATACGACATTTGATATAAACACTTTTTATCTTTGAAACTACATTTCTTGGTATACTATCTATTATTATAAAGTGGAACAATGCATAAATTTTGTTCTTCATAAAGCATGCTTAATGAGTGAAACATTCAAAGAGAGTTATACACAAATCATATAGTAACAAGAAACTAAATTATATGGTGTACATATATGCAGATTGCGGAAGAAATAGAAAGGTAGAAACCAACTGAAAATTACGGCATAGTTTCAAATTTTTTACTAATCATTAAAAACGTAGGCAGCATCCTCGAATTCGGCAATATGATCGGTCACTTTGTTAATTCTATACATATGGCCTACGTCCGGGTTAGGATCTATAGCACTTCTGTCATGTTTTGACCTATATTGCCAAGAAAGTTAGAGGGACATTGCAAATATTTATGAATATAATAAAATTTGTCACTAACCATTGTGGACGATTATTAATCCAATTTCCCAATTGACGGCAAGTTCTAAATGAAAATATCGTGTCCGAGTTAAATTCGTTTACGCCACCACCATTAATAATGTTTTCGATGAGAATTCTCTAAATAATTTTTTATTCTTAGTTTAATCTACAAAAAATGAATTACAAACAATATTAAAATACCTTTGTTTGACTGCGTCCACGTGGCCATGGGTTTCTCCAGTCTATAACCACAATTGGATCATCATCAGGAATTCTGTCAAGTACTTCGAGAATGCGAGCTGCTCTTTGTTTTAAACATACAGGGATTTCATTAAGATCTAATAAAAAATTTAAAATTATTAAATATAAATGAGTTTAATTTTCATTTACTTTGTATTATAATATGTTCACCTAATTGAAGTTTTTTTGCGAGTTTAATTTCGTCGTTGTCAACTCCATGTTCTTCGTTATTAACTTCAAGTTTGTCGTTATCAGCACCAAGTTCGACTTTAAGATCATCAATATATGGATCCATGTCTTTACGTAGAAGAGCAGTAAACAAGAAACAGTTAAGAATTTATTTAAGAATAGAGAATTTATTTACAAAATGTTAATGTAGTGAAGGAGAATTTGAGAGAGTTTATTAACAAGTTCAAAAATAAAGGTATTATTATTTTTTTTTCGGTTATACAAACTTTTCTATAAAGCAATGACTCATTAGTTCGAAGATATTAATGGATGCTTACGCAAGCACTAAAATTATTATAAGCACGTAATTTATTAAATTATTAATAATACAAAAATGTGATGAGAAAAGGTTATTGGATTAGCTGTTGTGACTCTTTATATTAATAACAAAATAAAGATTTCGATTTACCAATTTAATATTTTACTGATAAAATCTCTCTTATTCTCAACACAATGTTAAGCATGTTTTGTACTCAATTAATATAGAGAATGGAATCGATTCTAGCAAAATCACAAAATACCTAGAACTCTATAACTAACCAATCTATTCTAAATTACTAATAATTCTAAACTATAATTAATTTTTTTAGTTTATAAATTATATTTGTGTCAATTTACTAAACTACTAAAATAAATTTTTTTTTGATTTTTTTGATATTTTCTTATTTTTTTCTACTTTTTCATTAAACTAGATACACCAAGAAGATTTATCTAATTAAAATTTATTAAGAAAATAAAGCCGCATCAATCTACGCCCAGCAAAAATAAAAGAAACAAAAGAAAAGAAATTAATACATTGAAAAATAAAATCCATTAATACACGTCTTAACGGAAACGTTTCGAAAGTCGACTAAAAATCCACCACTCAGTCGAGCATTTTCCAACCCTTTTCCAACGCAAAAGAAACGAACCTCATTTTTAAAATTTGTTTAATTGAATAATAATAAATGATAAATTTATTGTTCATTCGTTATCAGAATCATCCCTGTTTCCCTGATCCGTTGCTACACGTTTCTTATTTTCGTTTAAATTGTCTTTTCCATTCTGTATCTTTATTACTTTTCAAACTCGTAGCTAATGTGCCATCGTTAATTTTCTCGATTCTTTCACTAAATTCCTCATTCAATTTGTTGTAATTTTTGCGTTCTTCTTTACTTCTAGGCACTGTCGAGACCAAAGCTGCCGATAATTTAGGACTTGTTGGTGCATCTATAAATTGTTTGTCTTCCGATATATGATATACACCTTCACTTGTTACGTCCCTACCCCGTAGCTTTGTCAAGACCCCGTTCTTTCCTATAATTTCGTCTTGTCCTTTCATCTGTAGACCTTTTCCCATATCTTCTTCCATTGTTGATTTGTATATGGCCTTTAACAAATCGCTTTCATTGTTAAAATATATCAAATATATTTAAATTTGTTAATTTTGATAATTTTCGCAAAATGGCCCCCATATTGTCCTACATATTCTTTTATCATCTTGAATTCTTGCTCGTCATTTTACTTTTCACTCAATTTTTTAATTGCTTGCCAACTTCGCCGCGATTGTCGCATCAAATATCCTCAAAAAATATCTCCGTTCATTTTTTGTAACCGTAATATTTGAACCGCCTTTAATGAAAATTTCTTCCATTTCTTTTGTTAGACGGATATCAGTTCGAACAGTCTTGTATTTATAATTACGTTTGACTACCAATCTTTCCACATATCCAAATTTTTTCAGTGTCTCTGAAAATCATAAAATCGTAAATCACGTGACTTTTCGGCAAAATGTTGAGTTTTTTTTTAACCGGAATTTCTTTATGGCGTTTAGTCTTACTCACTATATTTAGTCATACTACTCGCTTTTCTATTATTTTCTTGTAAAACGATTTGTTCCTTCGTAGTTACTATCTTTTATCTTTTCTTTAAGATTAATAATTTCTTCCACTTTTAGTTTAAGTAAACGTTCCTTATCTATTATATCTTCCTCTTGTAATTTGATTTTGCGTGCTTGTGCTAAACTCTCTGCTTCCATAATGGACTTCTTTTCTTACCCTAAATTCAGCTTTATAAAAACGCACAAATAAATTATTCTTCTGGAAAATCTTTATTTTTAACTGAAATAGTAAATAAATTTTTAAAATGTCGATACTTGTTTCTGATGAAAAATTATTTGCAATCATTTTATACTCCGTATTTGTAAACAATAAATATCTACCTTCTGTTAGAGATGCTTGGAAGAATTCTTGGATAACTGGAACTTCTGGAGCATTGGCAATAGGGTTAGCTAGTGCAATAGTTGCACCATTTATTATATCAGCAATAATTTATGCGTTGGGATTTGGTACAGGAGGTATTGCAGCACATTCATTTGGCTCTTGGTTTATGTCATTGTATGGAGGTGTGATCGCACATGGAAGTCTCGTTTCAATTTTACAATCGATTGGAGCTGCTGGTTTAGGATCTTTGGGTATTTTCTTAAGCAGTAGTTTTGGAGCAGCTATTGGAATTCTTATTGGAGCAATTGATGGTTCTAATCTTGCAAGATATATTGAAGAAAGGGATTTAATTGGAGTAGAAAAACAAATGCTTAAAAGTTTGGTTCAAATCAAACAAAATACTTATTAAAATAACCATCACATGGTTATATTCACACTCATGCCGGCTTTATTATATAATGATACACTTTTAAGATGTTTTTTTGAAATATTTATATCTAGCTCACCATTTGTTAATTCTAAATTGTTTAGATTTGATTTTATGGAAAATGATTTATTAAAGTTAAAATCAGAAGAAGAAAGATTGAATCGTATTATTCATAATTTGTTAATCAATAATTATGAAAAATCTAGAATAGAATATATTTTTCGCGATAATTACTTGGTTGGATTAAAGTTAGACCTTAATGGTTATAAATCATCGAATCTTATAATAAATACATTGGTGGAAGTTTGGAATGTTATAAATTGTAATATCGTTATGAGTATTGATTTCTATAAATTTCGGGATCAAATTAAAATTAATAAGATTAATACCAACAAGTTTCGTAGTAAATTATAATCAATTTAATGGTCGTTAATGGTCAATGTAGGCAAAAATATAGATTTATTAGTTTAGAAAGTTATATAATAAATAAATTTGGTAAGAAAAATTTTCGGTTTATTAAATACAATTTCATAATTTTAAAAATGTTTGAACTGTAATTTACTAATACATTTGAGTTGAACATTCTTGAACTCTGAAAAAAAACTTAAATAACTAAGTGTAAAAAAATTATATTATGAAATATCGAGTATTAAGCGTAATAATCATGTGTTTTCTTGAAAAAATATTTTGATTCCACGCAATTCTAAGAATACTTTTACTTTTAGAATTATTCTGAAATCTGTAGTTTATATATAGAAATATATTTTAAATATCGCACTGAATATTGATTGGATCATTGATTTTCTTTACCGGCTTTTCATATATATTGCTAATGTTGGCGATGGAATAAAATTTAATTCCAGGGGTCTAGTTATAAATGATCATCGTATCTGATAGGGCATTGCTCATTGCTAAAGTCCACAGCGGTAATTGGCTGAAAAATAGGTGCTGTCATATACATTCCTCGGCGAAAAGAATGGCGGTGCGAATATCATTTGTTATTTTGAATATGAGATCAGAATTTTCCTATTTAAATTAAAACTTGTAATGCCTAATGGATTTTAGAATACTATTTTAAAAAAGCAATAAAAAAAAAATGAAAATTTATTAATGTTTTTACGCCTATTTTACCTTCTAAAAAATCAAGAAGTATAAATTTAATAGAAATCGGAACATAATAATTTACTATGAATTTTTTTAAATGCTCAAAATCCTACATAATAATAAATTCCAATTTTTTTTTTAAAAAAAAAACTACTTACTTTTAACTATCAAATATTATAATTGCATTTTGTTATATTACATTATCACAGAGAAATACTACTAATAATTTTTACATTAAAATTGAATTTGGTATGAAGGTTTGAAATAAAAAGTTTAAACTTCATTTCTCATCAACCAAAGCTTGTATTGAAACAAAATTATAACTATTAGATTCCATGCCATTATTTAAGATGCCCTCGAAATGACGAAATTACTGTCCTGTACTCTAAATTCGTTATCATTTGATAAAATCCTGTTGTAATAAGTTATATAAAAGTTTTTACATTATGAGGCTGATAAATTAATTGCGCCAGGGGCTGAATAATATTTTATTGTGTCCGCTAGATTACGCAAAAGATTTAAAGATCTCCAATACTTTGATTTATTAAAGGGCTAAACGAAAGGATGCTCATATATATAACAAAAAGTTATTTAATTTATTTTCAATTTAAATTTGGTCTATCGAATCTAAATCAATTAAAAAAAAAGCAATAAATAACTGAAATAAAACAAATTAATTGGTAAGCACGATGATACGTAATACATATATGTGTTTTTATATTATTGTTCCAGTGAATCCCATATATAATCTTTTATTTATAAAATAAATTGAAGTAAGATTCACATATTATTTAACGGATTTCCGGCAAAATTTTTTAATTACAAAAAAAAGTGACGATTATTGAATCTGATAAAAAATTATTTTTATGTTTTATATTCCGCATTTGTAATAAATAAATTTCTAACCACCAATAGAGATAATTGAGAGAATCCTTGGGTAATTGGAACTTCTGGAGCAATAGCACTAGGATTAGTCGGCGCATTAGTTGTGCCGTTTATTTTATCAGTAATAATTTATGTGTTGGTGCAGAAGATGTTGCAGCAAGTTCATTTGCTTCTTGGTTTATGTCATTATATGGAGGCACGATTGCACGTGCGTGGAAGACTTGTTTCAATTTTACAATCGATTGGAGCTGCTGGTTTAGGAACTCTCGGCACTTCAATAAGCAGTAGTTTTGGAGCAGCTATTGGAACTCTCATTGGGGGTCCTAAAGCTTGCAACATATTTAAAAGAAATCAAATTTTTGGAAGGTTCGTGAAAATGTTTATCAAAATAATAGTATTAATATATTCATACTTATGCCAGCTTTATTATATATTGATACAATGTTAAAATTTTTTTTTTGAAACATTTATGTCTAGTTCATCATTTTCTAATTCTAAATTATTTAGATTTAAAGAAAATAATTATCAAAATTAAAATCAGAAGAAAAAAAGAGTGAATAATACAGTATATAAAGAATTCAGAGTTAAGTATTTATCATGATGATTAAATCTTGTTGATTTTGAAATGATAAATGGTAACATCATTATTAATATTCCTGATATCAATAAGATTCGTGATCAAATTAATGATCAGGTTCACAAAATTAATATCAATAAATTTAGTAGTAAAATTAGTGAGCAAGTTAATGAAAAAGTTCACGAAATCTCAAAGTTCTTTAATAAGTTTCATTTTAAATAGATATATTAGCTCTTTAGAATAACTTTTGTTTAAGAAATACGTCGTCAGGTGACAGCTGACATGCGCAAGAGAATTGTATGATTAAATTTATGAATAAATTTTGTTTATATCCTTGTCCTGCATTTTATGTGCAAGTTTCAATTCGACCCGAGTATTCCTCTTATATCCGGTAGAGAGAAAACTCGATTTGATTATTGTTTAATTTGGATACCGGGTTAGAAGCGAATATTTTATTTATCTATTGTAAAAAAATCAAATTATAAAACATTGAGTATTTAAATCTGAGAATCACCTGAAATATAATCTGCGGCTTGATTCAATAAATACTATAGGTATATTAAATTCAAATAATTGACTTTACAGACAAGTAGTGGAGAAAATTTTATTTCTAGTGATTTCAATTTATACTAAGAAGATTTTGAAAATTACATGAATCTTAAAAATCCTTATCTGTGTTAGATAATTACTTCTAAGTAGATTATCTGGGTCGAACCGAACAGTATGACAGGTTGGATTTAGATTATTGGTCCGATTCAAAATTTGAGTCGGATCAATTAACCTGATCTATTTGACTCAGATGGAGAACTAGTTGAAACACTTAATTCTAAATTACTTTAAGCAAAAAATTGAATCTTTGCGCATGATTTATTAATAAATATAACTGTTAACTTACAATTCTTACAATTAAAGGTAACGAATATAACTACATCCCTGGAAAGCTGGAATAAACGTAATATGACACGTCATTACAAAATATTTCTACTCCAATCCTATGGCTTATATGTTTCATTGGGTACAAAATTACCAATTTATAATTGTTGCACACTTGGCTTGGTAGTTAGTTCGAAATAGTACAAAATCTGTAAATACATATTAATTTAATTCTCGGGAATTTTTTATTTTATTTTATTTTTTTTTTTATTTTTAATAACGCATTTCTTATTAATTAAATCATATTTGCATAGATTACACATTAATTTTAGAAATACATAGAGGTAAACAATTATAAAAATTGAATATCCCTATAACTAAATAGTCTAATAATATGCTAAAAGATCTAACTAAGACACGTGATCTGTAATAAGAAAATTAAAGTATAACGTTTACAAAATATATTTTGAAGTTAACCTAATTACACTTAAAGAAAATTTACTAATACTATCTTTCTTTACATCCGAATCGTCCGAACTTAGATTTTCCGTATTTGGTTTTGTTGGCGTTTATATTTAAAGGTAATACAGATCGGGTTAATACTTGCAATTGATCAGTGGCGTACGCCACTCTAAAACTAGTTTTGATTAAAAACTTGATTTGGAGAACAACAATATTAACGTTAACATTGTTTAATGATCAGCAAATTTGTGATATCGTGATTAGGATCCTAATATATAAATAGGTAACAAAGAGATCGGCACCATCTAGGGCCAGAATTACATAATGCCACCTGGCATTATCCTAGAAAGGAAGGAGCTACACGTTATTCTACGCTAACTCTGTATTGTTACCTTTTTTTTGTTTTGCTCGGGAACCTGCGACTTCTGTCGTGATACATGTGTATTAATTAAATATGTTCACATGTTGTTGCAATAATCATTATAAAATGAGAATTTCCTAAGTAATAAGGATTAATTATTAACAATGTATTTGTCTGATAAAAAATTATTAGCAATCGTTTTATATTCTGCATTTGTAAACAACGAATTTTTAATTCCTGTTAGAGATACTTGGGATAATCCTTGGATAATTGGAACTTCTGGAGCATTAGCAATAGGATTCGTTGGCGCATTAGTTGCACCAATTATTTTATCAGCAATAATATATGGATTAGGATTTGGTGTAGAAGGCATTGCAGCAAATTCATTTGCCTCTTGGTTTATGTCATTATATGGAGGTACGATCGCACGTGGAAGTCTTATTTCAATTTTACAATCGGTTGGAGCTGCTGGTTTAGGAACTTTGGGAACTTTCTTAAGCAGTAGTTTTGGAGCAGCTATTGGAATTCTTATCGGAGCAATTGGTGGTTCAAACCTTGCATCATATTTAAAAGAAATGGATCTAACTGAATTTGAAAATCAAATTCTTGAAAGTTTGGTTCAAATTGAAGAAAATATTTATCAAAATAATAGTATTGTTATATTTACACTTATGCCACTTTTATTATCTAATAGTACAATGTTAAAATGTTTTGCTGAAACATTTATATCTTGTTCACCATTTGTTAACTCTAAATTATTTAGATTTGATTTTAAAGACATTAATTTATTAAAATCAGATGAAGGAAGGGTTAATTATATTGTTAATAATTTGTTAATTGGTGATTATAACAAAACCAGAGCAAAATATATTTTTCATGATGATTATTTGATCGGATATAATTTAAATCTTAGCGATCATGAACCATCAAATCTTATGTTAAATATGTTAGTGGAAATTTGGAACATTTTAAATGGTAATATTATTGTAGATTTTGGAATTGATAATATTCGTAATCAAATCAATGATGAAATTCACAATTTAATAAATTACTTTCATGATAAAGTTCATCTTTAATAGGCATAGTACCGAATAGTAGTACTTATGCATTTTATAAAATTTATGGAGAGAATATTTTTAAATGGGTACTAATATATACAGAACGTTTTACGGTAGCTCAATTTCTCTTTTTATTTTATCCTTAGGGAATATAATACTTCCAGTGTTTGAGAAATAGTTTGATTTTTTTCGCCCTGAAAATCTTTAATTTCGTATCTTTTGTTATGGTCATTTGATAAGTTTCATAGTTAGTTATACAAGAATCCTATTTACAATAAAAAGTAATTTAATAACTTATTTGTCAAGTTGTTTATTACTTTTTTCGCTGACCTTTACAATGAAGTAATTATTCTTTGCCAAAGAACCAATTATTTTTGACGCACCACCAGCTGATCATAATATAAAATCAGCTTCGTCAAATTTCTAGTAATTCTTTAACGGTTGTAATTTTTGTTCAAATTTATAAAATTTTCAGTAAGAATTAACCCAATTTCTTAATTACCGTATCGATACTATTATAAATTTGAAAATATCAATATCTATGAAACCATATTTGTTATGTTTGTTGCAATATTAAAAGTTCAAGAATTCACCTTTTTTATTAAAAATGAGAATATTATAAATTATTTATAAAATACAACATATTTCTAATACATAATGTAATTTCACTTATTTTTTTTTTTAAAAAAAAAAAAAATTTAAAATATTTTCATGAGAATCTATAATTAGCGACGAGCGCAAGATCGGAGAAAAGAAAATTATAACTAATAGGAATACATACAGTGCCACGTCTCGGAACTCACGTTCGCTTCTGGAAAGAAATCTTGTTTTTTTTTGCGATTTTGATCCTGAGTCAAATTGATTCTACAAAAAAAAGGTAATTTCAATCAGTAAAAGTTAATCAATATCAAAATAAAATAAATATAATAAACATTACATTTAATCATCCATCATCTTTTTGGAAGAGTTGAACAGTTTTTACCTGAACTTCCATTCACATAAAAACTTTGTTTCCTGAAGTCATGTCTTAATCCAATTCTACTTACACAATTTCAATATATTCACTTACAACATCCTGTATTTCTTCTTTCAATTGAGTCCGATAGTTTGACTTAATAAGTCAAGCGCTGGTTTGATATTTCTTATTAGCAATAACATCCCTTTAAGTAAGTAAGCATTAATCTGTAAATGATCTAATCCATCTTAAGACGTTTCTTGACTATTCATTTATGAATAGATTTCTTCATCATATGCTTCTTTGTATCAAATTATTAATAAGATCACGTGACCTGACTCTTTAAAATATCCCTTCTTTTCTTCAACCGATTTTCTCCGTACGTCAAAAAGTCTTGAATTACTCTACGATTATGTTATTACAAAAAAAAAAGATAACATTTAACATAAATTACAAAAGAACTAAAATAATTAAAATTGTAATACTATTAAACTGTTTTATAAAGTTAAAAGTTTCGATTATTTTCAGAAGGGAAACTAAATTTTGAGGAACGAATTTTTATATTTATACTTTTGAAAGTTAAAATTAAAATGAGTCAAAAGATAATAGAATAAGTAAATAAACATGATAATTGATAAACGATAAATTATTTTCCATATATATATAACAATGTGTTTTTCAACAGTCAGAGAAAATAAAAAAAAAAATTTTAATATTGAAAAAAAATTTTATACAACATACAAAAATTAAAAATTATACGTTAAAAGTTCTAAGACGTAAATATATGAAATTACTCACTATTCCATAAACTTATACTTTTTATTTCTAATCCAGATAAAACAAAGTTAAGAATAGCTTGTCACAAGAAGCTCAGTGAAAATCATTTTATCGTAATATCCACCATGAAATTATTGGCTAGAATTTCCTTGACTTAAACCAAACAAAAAGCTTGAACTTTATGGTTGAAAGGAGTGGAGTTCGCTAGAATAAAAGAAGCGTTCATTCACTGGTTTTAAAGAAATTTGTGGAATATAGTAGAACAATAATTAATAAAATGTAAAAATAAATAAGTTGTACGAAGGGGATGAATTATTGATAAAGAAAGTTTGATTATGCACCCAAGTTATTAATTGTTTCACATCTGTTACAAAATAAACATCTTTTTTTTCACTATGAGATCATTGAGATCATTGAGGATATGAAAAGTAAAATTCATGAGAATTTTCAAGTTAGATTAACTTCATAATCAAATCTTTTCAAACATTGTACGACGCAACAAAGAAAATTAGAAAATGGGTAAGTAATGAATATTTATTTCACGCGTATTTTTTTCAAGAAGTGAAACCGTATACTTCATTTAAATTACTAAAAAAGAAAACTCAAGGCGTGAAAAAAAAAGGTTTAGGAATAATGGAACAGGGATCAAAGGTATCATCATTTACATTTTTAGCAATTGCATTTATAATAAACGCATATTATTGAAAAAACATTCTTTTAAATGAAGGAGATTAGATCCGGCTTTTCTTTTAATTGATCTGCGAGTAATCAACAATAATTAAAATGGCGTAATTAACATATATTAAACTCGCAATTTAATACACCAATCCATTACCAAAAAATAAATTTCACATATTTTTTTTTTTTTTAAACTTTTATCCGTTACATTTTATTTAATGCACGAAAAATCTCATCAAAGAAGTATAACGCCGAATCATCTAAATACAAATAAACTAACACCACACGACATCACACGACTTCCACAATTAGTAAGTAATACAAAATAATTTTTAATTTTCCTTATTGATATTTTGCGCCTAATATATAGATTAAACCTAAAAAGAAGTAATAGTAATCCCGATTCTGTTAATCAAAATTGGAACTTTTTTTTTTTTCTCATTTATAAATATCCTCAGGGTTCCTACTTTTTGGCTACGCATCGTTATAGAAAAAAAAAATTACACATAATTCTTATATAATTAATCAAAAAACATCATCATAAAAAAAATATATTTATACACTCATATATAATTCTTATATAATTGATCAAAACATGGGTCACGATCTATCAAAATATATTGATCCCGCATTATTTAATACCGATTCCGCAGATTCAAAAATTTCCCAAAGAATATCCACGATAGCACCGAATTATAATAGCGGTGATCTAGACGCTTCATCAGATACCCTAACATTAATTCCAAAACTATTGGAACAATCGGAGGAAAAGTTAAAATCAAGTGATTATGAAGCTTGCATATCTCTTTTACAACGAGCATCAAATCTTGGGTCTGGTCTTGCCGCTGCAAAATTGGGTTTTATATACTTGCATGGTTTGCAAGATTCTTCTACCGAGCCACCATCTTTCAAATATATAATAAAACCAGATTATAAAATGTCAGCAGAATATTATTTTTTATCATTGAAAATAATAAATTTAATTGTTTATACTTTATGGGATATGAGCTTATTACTAGAAGTGATCGTTTCCGTAACCGATTTATATCGGTATAAATTTGATCGAAAAAGTGAATTATGGAATAATGGATTGGAAATTTTAAAGTTGTTCAATACAACTCTTAACGAAAACCAATTCGTGAAGTTTCAAACTCACGAAAATAATCAAATAAGAAACGCCATTAGGGTTCACATTTTATTCATATTTGCTTTAACTCATGAATTAGATAGAAAATTTTCTGATGCTATGAAAATTTACCATGAGTGTGAAAAAATTGGTCAAACATTTATCTCTCTTAGCGCAGATAAATTAGTGAAAAAATCCCATACTAATTATAGAATATTACAAAAAGAATTAGATAAACAAACTCCAAAAGTTTTGCCTATATGTACAGAATGTAATTTTAAACCTAAAAATACGGCGGAAGTTTGGGGGTTGTTAGTTTGTTCTAAATGTCAACAAGCTGCCTGTTGTAGTCGGCAATGTTTGCAACTTCATTTAACAAATGATCATTAGTACATAGATTTTATAAATAATATATTATAATCTTTCAATTTTTATTATGTATTTTTTTAATAATTAAAGGTAATAAAGGTCAAAACTTAAATACATATTCAATTTTCAGATCATGTGCAAATAATATCACATGCGTGATTAACCCTAAATTCCATGGAATTTTGGGGTCTATCGGGATGGGCCGCCATACCACGTGTTTAAACGTGTTTTCTCATCAAAAATAGGGACGGTGACATTTTTTTTAATTAAAATAGACAATATTTGTTGATCTCAATATTGTAATGGTAATAATTGTAATTCGAATGTTCTCATGCATGAAGCCTTTGTGTACAAAAGATGATAAACAAGGGATTTACTGCAAAATTTTAAATAGTTTAACAGTTTGAAGATTCGTTATGTTTCACTTACTAAACATATTTTATGTACCAGTAAATATCATCGGGTAACAATTAGTTAAAATAAATATATCGGAGTTATATATGTCGGAATTAGTTTATTTAAGTTGGTTTTTTTATGGTAGGCTTCATACATAAATGTAGTCTGTAACACGAATTAATACATTTTTTTATTTAAAATAAACCTTAATATTTTTTATAAATTCTCCCTTCTCTTTAATGATTTTGTTATTCTTATCGATATTTAAAATTTTATAATAAAAATGGAACAAGAGAAAGTTAAGAAACAATTGAGATATAATCCATATGTACCAGAATTTCTAAGATTGAAGGGTACAGTTTTACCTCATGTTATTGTCCAAACTATAATAGTAACTTTAATCAGTACTGTAGTGGTTATTCTTTTCGAATTAACTGACATCAAATTAAGTGTATCTAAAGCACCACCAACATCCATATCTAATATTTTTACTCAAATAATTGGTATTGTGGTTGGTCTTTTACTTACTTATAGAACAAATACCGCTTATGACAGGTATTTTTCGTTATTGCGTAGTATTTTCACTCTCTAGAGCGGGTTTTTTTAACGAGTGAATCTTTTTTTTTTTTAGATATTGGGAAGGAAGAAAACTTTGGTCCACGATGGTTGTACAAATTCGTAATTTTACACGATATATGTGGATAGGAGTTAGAGAAGATGGTAAGAAAAAGGGTGCTGACCCCCATGGACAAGCAAAACCAGAAATTGTTATAGAGAAAAGAACCGCCTTAAATTTATTATTGGGATTCACAGTAGCGGTTAAACATTATCTTAGAGAAGAACCTGGATATCATTATAAAGATTTAGAAAATTTAATTTCAAATATTCGATCAAGCTTACCAGAATTTTCATCAGCAAATAATTATGAAAGTGATATTACTCACGCACAAAAATCTGGATGGTATACTCGCTTATTTCGTAGAAAACTTAAACCTCATGAGAGAGAGAAGGAGGATCATTCTCTTGCAGAACAAAATCTTCCTCTGGATATAACTCTCTATCTTTCTTCTTATATTGATACTCAAGTTAAAAATTCATCAATTGATGTTCCAATTACTAATCAATTATTAGCCTCTCTTAATGGGTTATGTGATTGTTTGTCTCAATTTGAAAGAATTCTTAGAAGTCCTATTCCTTTAGCTTATTCTATTCATCTTTCTCAAACTGTTTGGATTTATTGTCTTAGTTTACCTTTTTTTTTGGTTTCTGGTACTCGTTGGGCTACTATTATTGTTGTATTTTTTGTTGCTTTGATTTTATTTGGATTGGAACGCATTGGAGCAGAAATTGAAAATCCCTTCGGATATGATGCAAATGACTTGGATTTGGACGATTTCTGCTCGTAAGCAAATTTTTTTTTTTTTTTTTAAAAAAAAAAAAAGAGATGAGTCACATTTTTTAAAACCTCTAATTTGATTTGATTTTTTTTTTATTTAGTCATATTAAACGTGAATTAGATACTATCGCAGCCCATCCTCCTCCAACAATTCAAGATTGGATTTACACACCAGAAAATCTTCCATTTGAAAATAAGGAAATTAACGCTCTTGATGTTGCTAATCTCGATATTGATGATGTCAGGTCATTACTTTCTGTTGGATCAAATCCTGAAATTGGTAGAGATTCTTTTGATGTACAAGAAGGAGAAGGAGAAACGTCTGAGAAGAACAAGAATAATGTAACCGTTGATGTTGGTGAATAGAAATGTAATTTATGAGATGGGGGGATGAGAAAAAACTTTGTATGCTTTATTTGATTCAATCTGGTAATTAGAATCACTAAAGTATAGATATTATGATAATTTCGTTAATCGAATTATCTTTTTTTTTTTTTATCAAAGTCACGTAATAATATATAAAATTCTTTTAAAATATTTTAAAATTTATTAAATTTAATATCCAAAAATTTATTTACAAACAATCAAACTTAGTTTTAGTTTACATTAAAGTGCTTATACGTAAAAATCGTGTTATTGAAAAAAAAAAAATTAGTATAAACACATTTAAAAATACTTGAAAAAAAAAAAAATTCTTAATAAAATAAAGCGTTTACGTTGAGGTGGTCAGTCAACTAATTAAATCAAAACTACATGTGGTTATATAACTTATCGAACATTTGATAACATAACAGCAGATATTTTATATGGTTGTATTAATGATTTTAATATAATTTATTTCTTAATATACTAAATTGTCTAGAATTATACATCTAATTTAACAAAATATATAATTCATATAAACGCCGGTTCCAATTAATAGAATACGTCTTGAAGAAATATAAAAGAACTCGCTGTCGATGAAGAGGTGTCTATTGATTGAGGAATTGACCTAAGAACATATTCAAAGAATGAAATATCATTAAGGCAATCTAAACTTTTGTTTATCTTCAAATAAATTGCTAAAGAAAATTATTCAGATAAATTAAAAAAAATGAGAGCGAAAAGAAATGCAACGAAGGAAATTCCGCTCTAACCACGGATCCGGATATTTTTAATAAATTATTTATATTAATACTGCTTCAAATTAATAAAATATATTACTCTATATAAATATAACTTGTATCACTCTCTATAAAAAAATTCTGGAAAAACTCCGATAAATGATCATTTTTCTAGTTTTTTATTCCGAAATTCCGAAGAAACTCAGACACGTGATCATTTTTCTGAAAAGGATGGTAAAGTCCTAGGTCCTGGACCTAAAGACCTGGTCCTAAGTCTAAATTTTGGACCAGAAGCGGACCAGGTCCTAAAAAGTCCTAATCATTATATATAAACATTAAATGAGAGATCTATATAAAATTATATTATGTTTAAATTATATATGTATAAATTGTAAATTTGATTTTAAGTAATAATAAATTATAAAAAATGCACTGCAATATTGCAATACAATTTTTATATTATTAAAATCATATTAAAAAATGAGTTGCGATATTGCGATTCACATTTTTATATTAAAATAATATAAAAAGGTGAATCGCGATACGGCAACTCACTTTTTTTTATATAAAATCAATATAAAAAAGTGAATCGCAATACCGCAACTCACTTTTTTTATATAAAATCAATATAAAAAAGTGAATCGCAATACCGCAAATCACTTTTTTTATATTTAGTTATCACTAAATTCATAAAATCTATAAATAACTTAGTCAGGATCAGGTCCTGGGACCAGGTCCAGGACTGGTCCTAACAGGACCTGGTCCGCAGGTCCGTTCAATAGGACTTATAAGTCCCAGGACCAGGACCGGACCAGGACCGACCTAACCATCCCTGGCTACCACATTATTGATTGGCTGACCACCTGACGTTACGAAAAATAAAAGATCTATATATGATTTAAATTTTGTTGGTTACAAATTATATTCATGGGCTTATATGCTATACTTCGACTTTCAAATGTTAGTTTGAGGTAGTTTAGGTACTGGACCAACTGGAATACTTATTATAAATTATAGCAAAAGTTTTTCTGTACATTTAAATATTATAGCAAATATGAAAATATTTTTAACTAGATTATTCAATCCCCTCAAGCGTCACAATCAATAATCAATGATGATGATATTTTTATAATAGATCTTATGGAGCGTCAAAACTATTCCATAATCTTCTCCATGTTAAAGTTTCAAAATCCATTGACATCTTGCGGCAAATCAACTTTTTATTAGGTCGTTGGCTCCAAATAAAGCTGTTATATGACAAGAAGAAATTTTTACCATGTGTCCCGAGTCTCCTGATCGCATCTTGATAGATTGACTTTATCAGTATATTTTTTATTCTAGTCATTTCGTATAAAGTTATATTTTTTATATCTATTTTTCGTAGTACTTTTTTTTTGTAGATTAAAAATAAACGACGAATGATTAGATTCTCTTTAATAGAATTGAATTCGTTTTGTGGTATTACTTATTAATTGAAGGACTACGGTATATATTATTATGCAAACTGAACATGTCGGACATCCGGACATTCGATCTATTATATTTACTTAAGTGCATCGAAAACAACACTTCGGGACGTTACAATGATTTCCATTTCCTATGTAGTTTAATATCATTCACACACAAAATAATCAAATAGGGAATTGACTCTACGCCAAAAATCGCTGTTCGATTAATTTGGTCATTACTAAGCCAAAGCGAACGATTATTATAGAAATAGTAAAATTTCAATCGCGCATGTATATTCGAAAAAAAAGAAGTATGCATATTCTTTGATTTTCCAAAATCGATAATTTCCTAAATTTGGATATTTCAAATGATTTTTAATTCGATACAGTTCTTTTCTCGAGTCAATTTAAGCAATAAAAAAAAAAGCCTTACTATTCCTATGGGTCATTCAAGCTAGAACATTTGAATGTATACAATTTTAGTGTTTAAAACGAATGTATCAATAGTTAATAAAACCATATATAGTTATAATATTAACACTTTTGGCACAAAAGTTTTAATATTAAATAGTGATTATGGTAATTAACTTTAACTATGTTCCACATGGGCGTTTTTTTTATAAACAAATGTGCAGAAACAATGATTTTTCAGACCATGCAGGTTGCTTATCAACCTCCATGTAAAGGATAAGTTTGTGGAGAAATTTTCTTTCCCCTTGAATCGATTCTTTTTCTTAAAAAATAATTAGATATGTCAGATAAGTGTACTATTGAACTTAAAGATAAGGCAAAAGGTATTTATAACTAATAAATGATAGTCACATGACATTTATTAATTAAATAAAATAAAATATTTTACCGTTTAATAGAACGATATGAAATCAAAAGGAGTTTTAACTACGGTAAGGAACTTAATGTATACAAAGCCTATGAAAGGAATAACACAAATATCCATTATGTGATAAAAAGCTATAAAACAAAAGAGGGGTTCGAAAGAGAGTTGCAAATGTTAAAAGAATTAAGTGGTGCAAAGGTAGTAAAATAATATTTTATCTGTACGTGAATTACGTTTCAATTTTTCAATTTTATTAAATTTTATTTTTTACTCAAAAATGCAGAATATTACACAAATGGTAGATAATTATCCTGAGCAATCAATAATTGTATGCGAATGCGCCTTATATGATTTGGAAACATTTTTGGGTCATCAAGATTATATTCAACGACACGAAGAGAAAGGCAATATAATAAAGGTAAATATTTATATTTTATTTTATTTAGTTCTTTTTTTTTTTACAAATATATTGAATTTTTTTTCATTAGGACATAGTATCTGGTCTCTTGGAACTTCAGAAGCACAACATAGGTAAAATTTTCGAAAATCAGACATCTAATTTATATGAATTTATTAACCAATTTTTTGAATTATTTTTTATAGTACATACTGAATTATCACCAGGAAATATAATGTTTTTTCAAGAGAATAATGGTTGCGTGGAAAGCTGGAAGTTGATTGATTTTGACACAGCATGTTTTGCTAGTTCATATTATGCAAAAATCAAAATGAATTATTCAGCTCCCGAAGTTATAAGAGCACAAGAGGAAGGAATTGAAATCAAGGCCGACTTTTCGATGGATATGTTCTCTTTCGGATTAGTTTTATATTTTATTGAGACGGGTATTTTTTTTTTTTTTTCAAGAGATTCTTTTCGATTCTTTTCATTGAATCACTTTTAATCGCCTAATAAAATTCGCTTAAATATGTCAGGTCGTCATTATTGGGATGGATGGGATATAGAGAATGAAGAAGTAAAAAGAGAAATTATTTCGGGAAATAAATACTCCTCACTACTTCAAAATATTCGCGATCAAAATTCTTGCTGGATTATAAAGAGTTTGCTTGTTAAAGACATTTCACACAGAATGAAATTAGATAGATTTATGGTGATTACACGTTTAACTTCGCGTTTATTTGTTTATCTTGTAATTCAGTACTAAAAATAAAAATTTTCCTCTTTTTAGCGAACGCCATATTATACCGGAGAATCAAGTAAGGAAAAAAGAAGTAAATTTAATTTAGTTAGCACTCATATTAATAGCTTGTATGCGTTGCATGATCCAGAATCAACGAATGTTAAAAATTTCGAGTCTGATTATGAAATAAATGAAGAATTATTTCAATTATATCAGTCAAAATTTACTCAGGTAAATTATTCAATTTGCTTTAAAGAAATTAAGTTCTTTTAATAAATATTTTTTTTCTTTCAGAAAGTTATTGAAGAATATCATAACGAAATGAAAGAAAGCTTAAGAAGATTGAATGATAAAGTTGATAATTGCAAGAAAGCCGTGGAGGATTTAACTGATCTAACAAGAAAGATTCCACAGTGGGTAAGTGATTTTTCGAGTTCACAAAAAATTTACTTAAAATTAATTCATTTAATTAATTCTCTTTCTTTTTTCTTATATAAAAAAAAACAAATAAAATAAAATAAAAAAAGTTAGTTAAATTACAAAATGAAAAAGTTCCTAGAGTATTTGTTATGATACCTGATCAAAAGGACTGGAAAAAACCAACGTAAGCAACATATTTGTTCCATTAAATTCTATTTATTTTAAATTTTAACATCATATTTATTCATAGGACGTGGCTTTTATCAAAACCTTTTCGTCTTTTATTTGTCTGCGAACACAAGGAGCGGTGGCACGTTCCAGAACAAGATGGGCATAAACTTCTTGAGGTTCCTCAATTTATTAAAAAATATGGACCTTGGATAAATCTTTGGTAAATTATTATATAATTTTAAAATCAAATTAAAATTTTTTTCAATCAATTAATGTTAACTATTTTTTTTTTTTTTTTTTTTTTGAAAAGTTTGCAAACGTTATTAAGCGCAATAAAAATTATGTCATCAAATATATTTCCGCAAGGCGTTGCTGATATTTTATCATCAGTTTTCAATATTAATGATAATTCTGACCTTATGCATTATTTTCAAGAAATTGTGGATACTGTTGACATAGGTGTAAAAACTATGATCGATGAAGATCCTACCTTTCTTCCTTTGAGCGATGAAATGTTTACTTCTCATCAAATGATAAATGCCTCGGGACTTCGAGAACTCGAAAGTATGTAAAATTACTACTTTTTTTTTATTTGTTTACAAAAAATTTATTTATTTTTTTTTATTAGGATTTCTCGATAAACAAGATTGTGCAGACAAGTTTGGTGGACTAGTGCAATGTGTGGATGATAATAATGAGATTTTATGGTTATGTGAAGAACATAGATCTGGATATAGTCCTATTAGTACAGCAAATCCTATTAGTACGGTAAATCCTATTAGTACGGTAAATCCTATTAGTACAGTAAGTCCACCAGAACCATTAATTATTCCACCAGATTCATTCGAGTCAAATGGATCAAATGGAACACAAGGATCAAATGGACAACAAAACCATTTCGATAACAGAGAATTAGGTAAATTATTACCAATAGATCCACAAGATCCCGAAACATTTCTTCCATGGAGACTTCCATTTGTGGAAAATACTCTGAAATGGGATTATAATAAATTTTACATAAAAAGCTCGACAGATCCGTTAGATCCATATTACGCATTAGATTATGTATGTGTAATACTTGGCGAAATAATAGAAAACGTAGTTGAATCTGGGAAAAAACACTTTAGGAGAGATGATTTGATGGAAATTGCGCAAAAAATGCGTGTGAACTTGAATAATTTAAATCGAAGTTGGTACGATAGTGAACAGAAAATCCAATTTTTAAAAATCCTAAAAAAACAATTACATCAATATAATCGTATTATATGGTTGATTATACGTTATTGTGCTGGTACAGTAAATTAATTTTTAATTTTCATTTATTATAAAAATATAATTTCAAATTTTTAATCAATTTTTTAAATCCTCTCTCCTTTTTTTTTCTAGTAAAAGATCGTGTTATGAATAGTCCGTTAGCAAAGAAGATATCAATCTTATATCAGGACATAATCGAAATTAGAAGGTTAGTAAAAAAATTTTTTTTTTTTTTTAAAGATATATATACTTATATGATTATTTATTTATTTATTAGCATAATAAAATCTGGAAAAGTATTCAATGACCGTTTGTCCAAATTAATTGCGGCTTTGAGAACGCATGACAATATTAGAATTCAAAGTGAATTAAAAAGTTTTTCCGAAGATCCGTATATTAACTTACGTATTGATCATATTGATGATGAGTCAAGTATACCTTTATCTCGTTGGTATTATGTAGCGAGTCAGGCATATCATGATCGTATAGAAACTCCAACAGATACTGGAATTCAAGGGGAGAGGCTTTTTGACACAACAAGACGAGTCTTAAATAACACGATTGCCACAGGAAAATCATTAAGATACCTAAATGACGAAAATTATCATTGTATAATTAAAGAGATTCATCTTTACAATGACCGTTATTTGAACTATAAGTATATAATCGAATTTCGTGGATATTCAATTGAACATTGTAAGTGCACTCTATTTTATGAATATGCAGATTCTGGTGATCTCTACCAATATTTTCAAGTGAATCATTATCCATCAAATCATCATCTGAGCGATTGGAAAAATAAAATTAAACTAGCATGGGAAATATCTCTAGGCGTAAGATATTTGCATAGTGTAAGAATTATTGTTTTTGTCGTTGTTTTAGTTCTTAACGTTTACAGCGTTTAAATAATCAATAACTTATCGTTTTTTATAGAAAAAAATTGTACATTTGGACCTTAGAAGTGCAAATATTTTATTGAAATATGACGAAAATGAAAAAACGTTAATGCCAAAAATATCCAATTTCCTTTGGAGCAGAGATTTTTATTCCGGAAAAACTTCAGCGTATCCAACAATAATAATATCTTCTGGTGAGGAGGTTTGGAAACGGTGGTACGATTCAGAAAGGTTATCTAATATGAGACAATTTCAAATTCCTACAACATCTGCTGATATATATAGTTTAGGATTATTGTTTTGGGAAATCGCTTGGTGTAAACCAAGAAATTTGCCATTTAAAGAAGTTTCGATTGAAAAACTTTATCATCATTTACGGCAATATAATCATGAAAATTTACCAGAATTACCAGTAGATTATCAACATTGGAGGCTATTAATAAGCAAAATGTGGAAATTCAAAGCGGAAGATCGTTGTGATATTAATACTGTAGAGATGCTTATGCAAAGATTATACAAGGGTAGATCAGATTCAACATCGTCAGTTTCATCACCAATCAGCCCCACATCACCATCTAATATATTTAATTAAAAATATTTTTTTGTATATTTATTAATAGATTTTGTATTATTAATCTTTTATTATTATTTAAGAATAATTTGAAGATCAAATTATTATTGCAATAAAATTTAATTTTATTCTTAATTTATTATATAAAATAAACAAAATATATTACCTGCTTATATCAAGCGTGAATAACCGCCATTAACCGATGATTTTCCCATATTATACGTAGGTCTAGGTTTCGGTAATTGGATTTAGAAAGTGCCACGATGCAAAACCTCATTGTGTTTTTATTCTACTAAAACGGAAATTCTTTGTTAAGAATGCCATTGTTACATTGTTACGGGTTAGGCAATACATAATTTAATTTCTAATCTACTGCGGTTTCTACTTTAATTTAATTTACACAATGGAGCACTACAGACATTACTTTCATAAATTTTCCTTTTTTAATTATGTGGCGTACTACGGTCAGTCATGCCACCGGAATCCGGAGACAATTTCCCGATTATATCGAACCATAGTATAATAAAAATGGTAGTTCTAAAAAAGAATGGAAAAAATCAAACGTCATGTGGAACGTACAACTGAAACGAAAGTTACACGCTACTTATTTTTTTTGTTTTTTTATTTCGCTGCTATCAAACTAACGATGTTTCTTCTTGAAAACACAAAAAACGATAAACAATAAAGAAAGAATTACGATATGCCTAGTAATTTATCACGCTTATTTGGAGACCTTAAACTTGAGAGTGAAGCTAAAGGTATCTAATTAAATGACAATTACATTTTAACGTGAATTAAAGGATTAAAAGTTAATACTGTATAATAAAAATATCTAAATGGTAAATAGAACAATATGCAATTATAAGAAGTTATAGCTTTGGTAAAGACTTTAATGTGTATAAAGTCTATGAAAAGAATAATCCAAAAAATAATTATGTTATAAAAAGTTATAAAACAAGAGAAGAATTCGAAAGAGAGTCACAGATGTTAAAAGAATTAAATGGTGCAAAGGTCTGTGCGTGGATTTTATTTTAATTTTTTTTTTTTTTTTTATTAAATTTGATTTGATTTTAAAAATGTGTAGAATATTACTCAAATGATAAATGTTTACCCATCGCAATCAATTATTGTATGCGAATATGCTCTATACGGGTTAGAAACATTTTTGGGACATCAAGATTATATCCAGAGGCATGAGGAGAAAGGCAATATAATAAAAGTAAATTATTATTTTTATTTTATTTTTTCTAAAAAAAAAATATGTACATTCTAAGTACGTACATTCTCTCCTTTTATCTTAGGATATAGTATCAGGTCTCTCTGAACTTCAAAAACACAAAATAGGTAATAATTTAGTGATCAGCTAAATATGCTATTATCTCTTCAGGGCCGGAATTACATAATGACGGCTGTATTATGAAGTACATTAATTAAATTAAAAATTTGCCGATCCTTAATTCCTCTTTTTTTTATAGTACATACTGAATTGGCACCAAAAAATGTAATGTACTTTCAAGAAAAAGATGGATACGCTGAAAACTGGAAGTTGATCGATTTTGATACGGCATGTTTTGTTAATACAGACAATGTAAAAATCACAACGAACTATTCAGCTCCTGAAGTACTAAGAGCACACAAGGAAGAAACAGTCATCAAAGCAAATTTTGCGATGGATATGTTCTCTTTTGGACTAATTTTATACTTTCTTGAGACAGGTATTCCTTTTTCCAAGAAATATTTGTTAAAGCTTATTTGAGCGACGTGATGAATTTTTATCTTAAATGTTAGGTCATCATTATTGGAATGGTAACAATGAAGAAGAAGAGAGGGAGATGGTTTCGGAAACAAAATACTTGCCACTTCGTGGTATACGCAATCAAACTGCTTGTTATGTTATAAAAAGGTTACTTGATAAAAATATTTCACATAGAATGACATTGGAAGAATTTATGGTTGTCATAATTAATCTATCATGTTTTATCGTTGAAATAATCACTTCTTGATATTAAAACAACTACATTTTTATTCTTAGCAAACAACATATTATAATGGTAAATCAGGTAAAAATTCACTTGTTATATCGTAATATGTTACGTTAAAAGGTAATCTAAAATTTGTGATAATAATCAACATTTCTTTTATCATATAGAAAAAGAAAGCATTTATGAAAATTATAATAATTCAACACACAATATCCCAATTTACGATTTAGGTAAATTAAAACTATATAAAGCATAATTTATTTAGTATTATTAATTGGATTTTATATGATTTATATTTAGAGCCAGCGAATATCAATAAAAATAATCAGCATGATTATGAGAAAGCGGAGCTTTTATATCGTACAAAATTATCACAGGTAAAAAATATTTACTTAGTTTTAATAAAATTGTTAATTTGATGTTACTAAGTTAATATTTATTTTATTAGGAATCATTTCAAACTTTTCTTGAAAATTATCATAATGAAATGAAACAAAGTTTAAGAATGATGAATGATAAAATTGATAAATATGCGAAAGTTTTAGAGGATTTATCCGATTTAACAAAGAAAATTCCACAAATGGTAAGCGATTTATTGAATGTATCAATAATTTATAAGATTAATACTGAATCAAATCTTCCTTTTGTTTAAAAAAGTTAGTAAAATTGAAAAATGAAAAGGTTCCTAGGGTATTCATCATGATCCCCGATCAAAAAGATTGGAAAAAACCTGCGTATGTAATATGCAAAAAGCAATTTTTTTTTTAAAAAAAATCTGATTATCTTTTAAAATTGTATTTATTATAGGACGTGGTTTTCAAAGCCTTTTCGCCTTCTATTTGTTTGTGAATACAAAAATCAATGGCACGTTCCAGAACAAGAAGGTTATAAAGTTCTTGACATTCCCCAATTTATTAAAAAATATGGACCTTGGATTAATCTTTGGTAAATTATCAGAGAAATTTTTTTTTTTTTTTTTGATACGTACTGTATATACTAATTATATTAACGCGGATATTTATAATAGCTTACAAACGTTGTGCAGTGTTTTACGAGCTTTAACATCAAATGTATTTCCAGAGAGTGTTGCTCATATTTTGACATCAGTTTTTAACATAAATAATAGTTATAATCTTGATCTTATTCAATATTTTCAAGAAATTATTGATACTGTTGACATTGGTGTAAAAACTATGCCTGACGAAGATCCTGATTTTGTTCCTTTGAGCAATGAAATTCACAGCCATTATCGAATGATAAATGCTTCAGGACTTCACCAACTCGAAAGTAAGTTTTCTTTTTTTCTTTCATAGAACGTTCCTTCCTCTAATTTTAAAATATTTTATTATAAATTCTTCAAGAATTTCTTGATACGCAAGAATGTGCTAGTCATTTTGGTGGATTAATACAATGTGTTGATGATAAAACTCAAGAAGTTGTATGGTTATGTGAAGAACATAGCATTGAATATAAACCGGTTTCATCTCCATTATATTCACCGCAGTTATTATCTCCAAGTTTAAGATCATTAAATATTTCACCGCCAGGATCTGTATCTCCTCCAACTATTTTTGTTGAATCTACTACTACTACTAGAAAATGGGATTATAGTGATTTTGATAAGAGAGATTCATTAGATCCATATTTAGCATTAGAATATGTATATAAAATACTTTGCGAAGTAGTAACGAACGCAATTGAATCTGAAAGAAAACACTTTAGAAAAGATGATGTTAAGAAAATTGCAAATGAAATTCATGAACAAATGAGTGAATTTAAAAGTTTGTGTAAGTATTGGGACAATGATACTCAAAAAATTCAATTTATAAGTATCTTAAAAAAGCAAGCACATCTTTATATTCATTATTTAATGTTAATCGTACGTTATTGTGTTGGTAAGTTATTTTTAATTTTAAGAATAAAATAAAATCGGGAATATTTCTAACTTTATTTTTTCTTAATTAATTAGTAAAAGATATTGAATTAATGAAACAAATGACGTTTTTATATACTGATACATTAGAAATTAACCGGTTAGTATTACTATTCTTATAAAAGATAGTTTGAAAGAATTCTCTCACACACGTTTTCTAATAAAAAAATTTTCAACTTTTTTTATTAGCATAATAATAGCTGGAAAGTCATTTAATAAACACTTAAGTAAATTAATGATGGCTTTGCAGTATAATACTCACGTAGGAATAGTATTAGATGATTTCGATAAAGAACCAAATCTTGACGTAAAAATTAATGATGATTCAATAGTTAATTATAAATCATTATTTCGATGGTATCATGTAGAGGATCGAACGCACACTGAAAGTTTAGATTCCCCATTAATGGGAACTCAAGGGGGAGGAGTACTTTTCGAAATAACAAAAAGAATTTTTGATGGACGTTTTATTATGGCGAAGTCATTAAAATATCTAAACAACGAAAATTTTTTATGTGTAATGAAAGAGATTTACTTCTATAGTGAGCATGAGTTATATAATGATAATATAATCGAATTTCGAGGATATTCAATTCACAATTGCAGATCCACACTGTTTTATGAATATGCAGAACGTGACTTATCCGAGTATTTTCAAAATTCATCAGCAAATACTTCTAAAGATTGGAAAGAAAGAATTCAAATAGCGTGGGGAATATCTCAGGGTGTAAGATATTTGCATGATGTAAGAAAAAACTTTTTCTTCCTTTGTTTAAAACAGATTACACTTACAGTATTAAATAATAACGAGATGTTTTCGTTTTTATAGAAAAGTATTATACATTTAGATCTTCGAAGCGCAAATATTTTATTGAAATATGATGGGACAGGTGAAATACCAGTACCAAAGATAACTAATTTTATTTGGAGTATATATTTATGCGCAACAAAAACTTCGGTGCGCCCAAAGATCAAAAGTTCGTCCGAAGAAGAAATTTGGAAAAGATGGTATGATCCAGATAGACTATTACATGGAAGTAATTTTGAATCGATTCTTCCATCATCTGATATATATAGTTTAGGATTATTGTTTTGGGAAATCGTTTGGTGTAAGGCGGGAAATTTGCCATTTAAAGAAGTTCCAATTAAAAAACTTTATAATCATTTACAAACTAATAATTATGAAATATTACCAGAGATACCTGAAGAATATAAAAGCTGGGAGAACTTAATAAAAAGAATGTGGAGGTTTAAATCAGAAAAGCGTTGTAATATTAAAACTGTAGAATCAACTATGCTAAAATTACATAAGGAGAGAACAAATTCAGCATCTTCAGCTTCAAGTTTTTTGACAGCTGTATCTCCCACATTATCTATTTCTCCTTTATCGAATCAATCTTCCCAAGCGATTAATTAATCAATATAGCGCGTCAATATATTGTATACATGAAAAGAGATTTAGTATTTACTGGTTTACTGTATATTAGTTGAATTAATAAGTTGAAATTTAATAATACTTAATAATTTTAATATTCACTATATCTTATATTTCGTAATGTTTAATTAATAATATTAATAATATTAATATAATTATGAAAGGAAGAAGTGAAATTAGGAAGATAATATAAATCTATACATTCTTTTAATTTATTGTGTATAATAAAACTTTATGATCTTCATTATTATTCTTTACCACTCTTAAATTTCGTTATTTTGAATAAAATAATTTTTTTTACTTTTTATTATTTCATTTTCAATATGTTGTATTAAACTAATTACCAATATTCGTCCGGCCTGGTAATTTACTACTAAGGTCATTTATTTTGAAAACAGTGATAAACTAAACTTTGTTATTAATTTAGTATTCAAAATACAAAAAGAACTAGCAAGTTCATTATATAATAAAGCGACTACTACTAGCTAAAACCCTTTGTTCTTAAACTGTACTTGTCCATACATTCCGAAATGCTATTAATTGGTTTATTATTAACAACTTTAACATCTCTATTGTTACTAATTTCTCGAAAGTGCTCTTTATAAATTTTATCTTATAATCCATCTTCATTAATATAAATGTTTCTACATTTCTATTATTAGTTAGAATTATATCATCCAAATAAATACAAACTTTTATTATTGTACTATTTCTTTATTATTATTACTTTTTTAAAAAAATTTATTATTATTTTTCTTACTGGAAGAAATGTGATAAAAGAGGGTAAAGAATATTTTGTTTTTTATGATATGAAAACAATTTCTTTGTGAGAAGGAAAATCTAACATTATTCTTACAGTAATGTAAATTAACTTCAGTTAATTGTTAAGTCTTTATAAATTTGTTTAATAGTGCATTTTTGTTTCTAAAAGATGAATTTACTTTCTATTATACATATTCTAAATTTGATAGTTATATATTGCATTTGTGATAGTTGATGATAAAATTATTAAATATTTTATAGACAGTTTAATTATTGAATAAATTTGTTCTTTTGATGATACACGGTTTATAAACCACTATTCAGTCTATTCACTATCATATTTGTTACTGCTCATCTCAATCTATTCTGCATAGTGGAAAGTATCAAAAAATAAAAAATTATATTAACAGGCCTCAAACTTTCTGCACAATTGATGGTAGTGATATTCACTTATTTTTATCTCACAAGTTCCTATAATAGTAGCCTAAAGGATAAATAATAAGTATCTCTATAAATCTTATTAAAGATTTAAAGTTATAATAAATAAATAGACATGTTTTATAAGTTATAACTTGAACATATAATATGAATTTCTAATTCTAATATAAACATCTTTTTATTTTTCCAATCTTTTTTGTTCTGATTATTTTACCAATTTTATTTTTGATCACCTGTTTTATTTCTTCTCTAGCTGAAATTTTGATAAATATAAGAAATCTTTGATTGTTAACTTTAATAATAGTAACTTTCTAGTTTCTACAATTATCAAAATATTTATAATTTATGCATTATTCAAGAATCTTCCTCTCTTTATAAATGTATTGGTTTCCATTTATCATTTGTTTTTTAAATGAAATGAAATACATGATAGATAAAATATGTATGTTTTAAAATATCCAATAGATAACAGATACTCTGCATTTTTTTTAAGAAGCTCTTCCTCCACTTTTTGTGATTGCTGTAGTTGTTTGTTACTGTTGTTTTTGGAGCTGCCCACATTAGAGGATGCCAAACTTGGTCAATCTTGATCAAGGTTATAGTTGTCTTTTTGAAGTTCTGTAGTGAGAGTCCATTCAAGACTTAGATGTCCTGGAGGTACAAGTATCTTATCTGCAAGCCAAAAGAATCAACTATTCAAGAATTGGAACATAAGGCTGAAACTCTAATAATCAAACATTTTTTAAAAGATTAATCCGACCCCAATCGGATAAAAAAATAGTTTGACCCAATCAAACATTTTTTATTAACATCTACAGGCAATCCCATCTAAGAGCATCTCAGAAACTTTGCGTATGATACCACCTTCAAGTTGGCACATCTTTGACTTTTGTAAGGCTTTTAGTGCTTGAAAATGAGCTTTGGACTTTTGTTTAGAGGTAGCAGAATGATGAGTGACCATAGTAGTAACAGTTTTTGGAAAAATAAAAATCTTGGAAAAAGAATACAAATATAAGAGAAAAAATTGGGAAAAGTTATAGATGCAAAAAGTAATATTAGGCAAATAAGCAGTCCTTATATAATAAAAAGACATGATGATAATATAATTAGAAATAAATGTGTACTTGTTCATTATCTATACCATATACAATATACAGTAAATGTGGTGTAGTGTTTTATGTATATGTAAGTATCATATTTAATTGTATATATGTAATATTGACATATTGAAGACGTTTTAGCTAGTTGAAAAAAATTCAATAAACCTCTGCATAGGTATATATATTGACAGTATGCTTAGAGTCTGACATCAAATTCAGTTTGAATAGAAACCTTTTGCTCCAAATTGCTTTAATTTTTCTTGCTACCTCCATATGACATTTAACAAATATTCTTCTATTCATAATATGCACACTATATCTTTACTAAGTTGAAATTGTTTTGTTAATAAATCACTAAGATCTACATGTTGGTCGGATGGAATTAAAATTTTTACTTTAAGATATATTACCCTTGTTGGGTTATTACTCATTATTGTCTAATTTTACTTGTGCCATTATTTCTAATAATGATGATTAATTAGATAATATCCTTTTATTATAATAGTGAAATATTTTGGAAAATATAAGGTATATAAATACTTCAGGTAACTAATAATATGTAAATTTAAATCATAGAGTTGATATAATTTAATGTTATTACTAACAGCCATTGTTATGATCACGCAATGCTACACATTCATCTTCGATCTCTTTGATCTTGTTTTCTATAGTACATATTAAAATTCAAATAATTAAATATAATCCAAATTAATTAATAAATTAATTAATTACCACAAGTACATAATAGTTCATTGAGCTCTTTGACTTGACTATATTTGACTAATACATCATGTATAATGTAATTTTATGTGCTAAAAATTGTAAATAATAATTTTGAGCATTTTTCCCTAAAAGATTTACTCTATATATTTTTTTCTTTTTGAATAAAATCTTGATTCTGGGTAATAAAGCAATAACAACATAATACTTTGGATTTTTGTTATTTTTGTTGTAAAATTAAGTTGTCAGATAATTTGTAAAGCTTAATTTTGTATTAAATTGATAAATTCTATTACTAGAATACTGGTAGATAAAGGTTTGTATAAAAAAGATATGGATTTTTTTTGATGTTTAGCTTATTAGTGATACTCTAATCTTTAATAAGTTTAATAATTTTATTATGTAAAGGACATAAAGGTATTTTGTTTTTTTATATGATAAAAGGTTCTGCCTTTTTAGTTAATGTACAATTCTAGCTTGTTGTCCAACAGTTTATGTATAATCCTCTATATTTTTTGGTTAAGAAATTATTTTGAAGGGAATTGGTCTTTTTTTGCCTTTTCTTAGGCAGCATTCTCTTGATCCGTGTGGGCTAGCCCAACACCTACAGCATCTCCCTAAAAAATCTTGATGTAGGTTTGGGCAGCTGTTGAGGCCATGGCCGTTGTACTCACATATCTTTATACAAACTGACTGGGGCCAATAGTTGTAGATGGTTATGGTGATGTGAATTCTTGAAATATGTGTTTTTTACTATAAGTAATTGGTAGTAATATGACAACTTCTAAGCATGCTGATAAGTGATAATATAAGACTTCCAATTGTTGAACAAATTGAAGTTCTGATTTTTATTCTGAAATTCAACCCATTCTCTTTCATTATTAGCAACTTTTTCCTCTATTTCCTCTATTTTATTCTCCATCCAGCATTTCTTTTGGACATAAAGAGAGCATTATATCTTTTATCTACCTCAGATAACTCTTGTTTACACAAAAATAATTCATCTTGTGGAACAAATAGGTATATTAACTCTTGTTGTTTTATTGCTTGCTCAACTAAGACTGGTATGAAGTTTTTTTGTCTGAAAGTATAAGTAGAGAGAAGAACCATAAATTCAATCTGCAAGTTTCATTACTTATTTCAAGCATTCCATATAAATTATTATGGTTATATTCTTGAGCTGATAAATTATTATTAGGAATTAAAGAATTGCTTAGTAGGTAATACTCACTATTGCCAAATTTGGAAATTCAATGTGATTACATCTGAATGACAATATAATAAATGCAAAAGAATAGAGAATTTTTTGCAAAATACCTATAATAGTATGATCTTTCAAAAAGTTGTTATGCTTGACTATAACAAATTCAAGAATATTATTGTTATGTAATTTCACCCATTTGCAAAAATGATGTTTGCGAAGCTGATGCTCACGAAGCAGATGGACCTATCATGGTAATTGGTGTACTCCATAGTACTTCATCATATTCTGGTATTAATGGCTGAGATCTTTGCTGGACAGGATTGTTTATTTGTAAAGTTTTATAAAACTCTTTAAAGTTGAATTGTTTGTGTTGAAAATTTTTAAAGGTTAATGAAATTCTTTCTAATTTGTCTATCTAAATTATTATTACTTTAAATGAATTAAAATTTCATATTTATGGATGTGATGCTATTGCTTTTGTAATTCAGTCTTAGTAAGTTATTGATAAATAATTACTATATCAGTTGATGTTATTATTTATAACAATGATACAATCCTTATAATTACCATAATTACCATAGTATTATTAATTTATAACTTAAACACTATAATAATATTTAAATAGATTAAGTATATTCAATTAAGTTTATAATAAAATTATATAAACTTGAGTATTGGACTATTGGAACAGAAATAACAGAAATGCAAATTTTTTGGATTTTTCAGAGTTTGGTTCTTTACTGAAATGATAAAAAATATAGGATTGAGTGTGATAACACCTATAAATTACATATAGGATTGTCAGTATAT